AGTGGGGGTCCTTGGCCGTAAACACCAGTAGCCAGCGTGACAAAGCCGGGCCCTCTCATGTACGTGAAGGGGTTGCTGGTCACCTGGGTCTATGGGGATGACAAAGTCCAGAGCAGTCAGAGATGCCTGGCCTGGGGGTGCAGATTTTCCTCATTCGGATGCACACTGCCTCTCTGTGGTGGTGCCCTGCTTGCTGCTCGTGTTCACTTGCCTCCTGAATTTGATTGTTATGAATGCTTGGTGTTGTGTAAGCACATGTCTTCTTTTTCTTTTTTTAATTTTTTTTTTTTTTTTAAGATTTATTTCTATAAGCACTGGGTACAGTCAGAAGCACAGGAGGGTGAGAGAATTCACCAGAGCCAGAGCGGGGAGCAGAACAGGCAGACCGATGAAATACACTGCTGAGGGGAGCAGCGGGCATGGCAGGAGAGGTCTGCCGCGCCATGTGGGACCCTTGCCAGCGGCCGGGATCGAACCAGTGGTGCAGAGGCTGCGGGCAGCTTTGCAGCCCAGCGCTCAACCGCTGCGCCACTGGGGAGGCCCTGTCTTCTTTTTCTTAACAGTCAGTCTTTCAAAGACTAATATCTGAATCCCTGCTAAAATCACTTGACTGATTATAGATTGTTTTCATTCTGTGTGATATTAGCTGACTAAGATAATGGAAAATCAACATTCAGTATTTTCTTAGGCCTGGGCTGAGAAACCCTGGCTTGGGCTGCAATTGGGAGATACTCGTTTTCTTGATGTTGTATTACTGGAAATTTTCTTCATGTTGTAACAAAATAACAACCTGTCCTTGGAGCGGGTTTTTAATAAGCCTGGAGGGCTCCTCCTGGGCTGTGGTTGTGTGTCTTAGCCTTCTCATGGTATTGCTTGCTCTGGTGTTGGTTTGTTGCCTGGTGCCTCACAGCTGTTTTTTTCCTTTTTCTTTTTCTTCTTTTTGGCCTGTCCACATGGATAGGGTGAGAAACAAAAATCCCAGCTGACCGCAGCCAGTCAGCATATTGTGATTTGCTAGTCATCCTGAGTACCCATTATTGAAGCCACCAATCTGTGATGAAACTATCTTCCAATCAGGATTTTGACTTTAAAATGCCAAGCTGGGGCCTCGCCAGTGGCGCAGCAGTTGAGTGCTGGGTTGCAAAGCTGCCCGCAGCCTCTGCAGCGCCAGTTTGATCCCCGACCGCTGGGTGAGGGTCCCACATGGTGCGCAGAACTCTTCTGCCGCCCGCTGCTCCCCTCAGCAGTGTACTTTGTCAGTCTGCCTGATTTTCTCTCCCCTCTGGCTCTGGTGAATTCTCTCACCCTCCCGCGCTTCTGACTGTACCCAGTGCTTATATAAATAAATAAAATAAATCTTTAAAAAAATAAAAATAATAATAAAATGCCAAGCTGTATTCATTTTTAAATGATTAAAAATTGTTCCCACAGGGGACAATCAGGAAGTAGTTAAAAGTGTTGATGTCGAGGTGTTGAGACCCTTGGAGTAGATTTTTCTCAGAATTTTTTTTAAAAAATTAAATCAGGAGTCATTATGGTGTTTATGTTGAGAGAGAGCTGAAAAACGTGCTGAATACTCTTTTATCTTGTTGGACCCTCTGAGGTTTATTCGTTTTCCACAACATGGCATCCAGGAGTGTTTGTGTCTCGTGACTTCAGCCTCTTTGGCAAATGATAGTGTATTTTATTGCCAGTTTTCAGCAGTGATTTTTCTTTAAAAATCAGGTTCAAAACAAAGTTTATAAATGGTTACTTTCATAACTTGGGCAATTATTTTTTTAACCACTTTGCCTTCAAGTGGTGTATACTCCTATTCCACATGGCGTCTGAGAGGGTCTTCCTCACCTTGTACCCATTTCACACTTTGTAGTTAATCTTTCACAGCAGCCCATGTAAGGATGTCCCTCAGAGGTTGAACAGCTTCTATGGAATAATCAGGGAAGTTTTCATTTGATTTTACTATTTAGGATTTTATTTATAGATTAGTTAAGCGCATTGAAATGTGGGCAGTAGTTTTCATTAACATTTCACTGTATCTAGGACTCTGAGGTAATGAGAATATGACTTAGGGAACAGGATGCTTGGAAAAGGGTTTGTTGCTCACTACTAAACATTTGGTGACTGAATTAGCCAAATAGTTGAAAGCTTAGAAGATGTAGAACCCTTAGAAGATGTAGAATTTCCTTTACGTAACATGCTTTTCAGATTATAAGGTGTTATTTATTATGCCTTGGAGAATGGTTAGCAGCCTAGAAAATGTGGGGAACTCTGATCAGTTTGCACCTCCCCTTCCCACCCTTCGGGGCAGGACTTAACAGTCTTGGGGTGGGGATTTGGATTGTTTCTTCAGCAAAGAGCAACTGGGAGATCATAACGTAAAGGTGGGGAATCTCATTGTCCGTGTGTATCTGTGATTTGTCATCAGCATCCATTGGCGTTTTTGTTCTTGTGAGTGACTGGTCTAAATTGATGCTAAAAGAAACCTCTTTGTTTCTGATCTGTTCAGCAGGGGGAGCGATCTCAGAACTGTTATGAAGACCCTCGAAGTCTCTTCATTCTTCCCTACGTTGCCATCATGTGGCCTCTGGACACTGTGGTCAGTCATTTGAGATTGACTTTAATTTAAAACAAAGGCCTCTGCCTCCCACCCAGGAGGTGGAAGGAGTGAATTTTATGTTTGAATGAAGAAGTGAATTATGGAAGAAGAGTTTATGGCCCTTCCCTTTCAAGCATAAGTCCAAATAGGCTCTCAGGAATGAGGATTTGTGAAGACATCAAATGGGAGTTTTGACTCATTTAAACTTTAATGCTTAGTTATATTGCTGGAGAAAAGATTCCTTTTTTCTCATCAAACTTGATTGTACCCAGCATCATTTCAGCCTGTCACTGTCTCCTGTGTGCCCTTCCATCTTCAGTGCATGTCCTTGGGTGACTGGTTCTTATCTGAAATCTTGCTACCTGTATCCTAGGAAAACTTCTCTTGCATATTCTTCCAACTTACCCTCTGACCAGACACTTCCTATTTTTCCATATTGTGTACCATGGTGGGCAGAAAAGAAAGTGCTTGAAAGATTTCCAATTTTCAGAAAGGATAAAAAGATGCGAAAGGCCCCCCCCTTTTTCTGATATCCTGTATTTTGCTCAAGAAGCTGGACTATATGAGGTTCGGGGCTTGTCCGTGTTTCCTTTCATCACATATTTCCCTCTAGTATTGGTTCTTCTCGTTAATCATGGTTTTTGAAAATAGCTAGTTTCATCTGTCTCCAGCAAAGAATCATCAATAGTTTCTATTGTTTTACCTGTGCTGACTTCCAGAGATGGAAACAAACCAAGGTGTCTCTCAACAAGCTTCTTTTTTTATTGGGATGGGGGAAATCTATGCAAGGACTGAAGTAAAACTGTCTAAAATCAAAGCAGCAACAACACAGTTGAAATCAAAGATCAAGGAAAGAAAATTGTATCATTGCTTGTGGATCACATGAGTCTTCACCTCGTCCCTTCTTGTTCCTGTGCTTCTTTCCCTAGTCTGTGTTTCCAGTCACTTCCTTTCTGTGAAAGGTTGCTTAGCTTTTAAAAAATTATTTTTGCTTTTTGCTTTTACTGTTCTTTATATAAAAAGTAGCAAATTGGATGGATATGTACATTAGGTATTGGAAATTCTCTGAAAATCCAGAATAAAGACACCAGGTGGGAGGAGTGCCTGTGCCTCCCTGGGCGAGGCAGGCTAACCGGACATGCTCGTGGCTGTCGCTCTCCCAGGAGCACGCCAAGACTGAGCCTCTGGGAAAGCTGCGTCAGCTGGGGGTGCGCCACGCATAGCCCAACACACGGGCTACCATGCAGATTTTAGGGTGGAAATCGAAGGTTATCTCAGTAAGACCTTTTCTTCCATTCCATCTCTGAGAACCAAAATACTCAGTAGTGGAAGAGCTTTTGCTGAGTCAGTTACAAAAAGTCTGTTATTCTAGATGTCACTACTTTTTCCTCAAATGTTCATTTTGTGAATTTCATTTCTACTTCACATCAGACCAGTGGTTGAGATTGGTAGGTGGCCCACGAGCCTTGTTTTTGTTTGGAAAGTGTAATTTTCATTCCATTTCTCTCTGTACTGTACACAGCAGTGGCGTACCAGCTGGGACACACAGTTTATGCCTTATCTCCATGTGCGAAGTCTCTGGGTATCCTCTGTGCATTTGGATGTTGAGTCTGTGCCATCTCCTAAACTGGCTACTGAGAACATAAAGCCCAGCCCTGTGAGATTGCTTTTGGCAGCAGCTCTTGATAATTATTTATGCTTTGGAACATTTTTCAGCTCCTAAAACCTGTCCATTTCAGTTTGAATTTCTCAGTTTATACAATATGCATATTCTCTTCTCCCTTGTCAGCGCCCTCCCACCACCACCATTTTGTTTTTTAATGTTCTGTAGTTTTTGTACAAGATAAGACTTAGCCTTGGGTACTTCTTGCTGAAGCTTTAATGCTTTGTAAATAAAATCGGATGTTTATTAAAAAACAAGTGTAGATCTTTGTCTTTGGACACTGATGATTCCTGAAACACCAGCCATGTTACTTTGTCTAGAAAATGCCTCTTCCTGTGTTGATGTTACAGAGCCAGAGGTGGGGTGGTCTGGTAGTCCATAGTTCTGTGTCTAGACAATATTGTGAATAAAAGATTAAGAAGTCGGTGTTAAATCAGAAGGATTATCTAGGAATCTAAGTGTGAGGAACGATTCTGTAGGGGTCGCAGCATAATGGGGCACTCAGGAGTTAGGAGAACATTTGTGAGGAGGCGCCTGCTAGCATAAATAGCTAGAATAAATAGCTTTGAAGTCCGCTGAATACTCATTGCCTACCAAAGAACATTTCATAGTCTGTTTTTTATTCTAATTGTTGCCACTCTAACCTGAGTGTCTAATTATTAATCTTTTAAGTGACTAAGAATCTGCCTTTGACATCACAACTGTCTCATAGCAACCTTGACCCAAGTGAACAGTGAGCGCCTCACTTCTCTTGGGTGAGGAGAGTCAGCCAAGAGATGGGGAGGATTTCTGTGTCTCAGAAATGACCCTCGGTACCCTTGGGAAGGAAGAGTGCCTGGAAGGGGAGAGGAGATGCACTTGTTATCATCCTAACTTGATAATAACTTGGCTTCTCTGGGAACTCTTGACCCCTGTGTTCGTGAATTTTAATTCATATTTAATATTCCCTATACATATATGAACAGTATTTCACACTTTTCAAAGTGTTTTCATGTGCAGTTTATCATTTGATGCTCAGTGACCTTCTTCAAGTAGGCAAGCAGATCTTAGTCTACAGAGGAGCAAATAGGAATTCAGGAAGGACAAGTCACTTGCTTCTCAGGCCAGAGTTGTTAATCCTTTTCATAGAAGGTTTTGCAGCTTTTAAAGTTAATAATCTAATTCAAGTTAATCCTCTCTTTTTTTAGTAGTTTAGAGTCAAATTTAACTGAGGGTTTGCAACTCTTGAATGTAATCCCACGATTTGGAGGGGAGGAGATAGGGTGAGGGAAAGCATAGCTACTCTCTACATCTGAGGTAACCTGGAAATTCAATTAAGAAGTCTTTTCATTGAAAGGAAGTGAGCAGAATGAAGGCAGATAAGGTGGTCATTCACAAGCGGAGATGGTGAAGCAGCAATATCGGGACTGCCTTGTACCTCACCTCTTGAAAAGAACCAGACTTACGCTTATCAAGTTGCACTGTTGACACTGCTGTGTCCTGTCCTCTGACTTTGAAGGATATCTCAGGTTGAAGGAATTGAATCATGACATCAGAGGATTCACCGGGAACACTGTGAGGCGCTAGCTGAGGCGGCAAGCATGAAGTCTTTGGCCGTCAGTTTCATCCTTGGGAACCTGGTGTTGGCCTCCTGTTTGTCTTTCGGAGTGGCTTCAACGGAAGGGTTCACCTTACCAAAGGAAATGAAAGAAGCTGTGGGGAAAGTTATTGTCAACACCACTGCCTGCAGTGTCACCTGTGGCCTCGGCTATAAGGAGGAGATTGTCTGTGAGGTGGGGCCTGATGGAGTGAAGAGGAAGTGCCGTTCTCAGTTCCTGGAATGTATGACCAGCTGGTACTGTGGAATGCTCCATTTCACCGCTCTCAGAGGGAAGAGATTTGAGCTGAGCTGTCTGAGTGCAGACATCGTGAGGATTGGTCACAAATCTTTCCGGTTCATCTGGAGATTTGCTCGGGGCATCATCTCAATCGATGATGAGCTCTTTAAACCCTTCTTAGTCACTTCCCACTCCTTGAGGTTTAGATCTGTTCGGGAGGATCACGCTGGGACCTACCGGTGTGATGTGCTGATACTGAAAAATTATAGACTTGTCAAGAGGCTCTACTTTGGCCTAAGAGTGCTTCCTCCCAACTTGGTGAGCCTGCATTTCAACCAATCACTTACTGAGGAACAGAAGTTAATGGATGAGGGCCTGGAAGTGAACCTGGACAACCATTCCATGGCCTACCTGCCGTCGAAAAACAAGGTGGCAGGAATCATGGGAACAGGAATTGCCATTGGTGTGACTGGTATGCTGGTCATCATTGTCTTCTGCAGCTGCCTGAGGGTGGCGCAGCTCAGCTACAAGCATCTGAAGTTGGCCTTACCAGCTTTGCCTGCCGAGGGCAGGTGACCCAGGAAGCCGCACTAGCTTTTCAGCAGAGCTTTCTGGCTGCCTGACTGAATTGGCTAAGAGGGAGGGCGTCCACCGCCAAAGAGTGGGGGAAGTAGAGAGGGCGACCTAGGGGGGGGTCTCATCCTGATCATCCCTGCTCACTAGGTGCCCGGGAAGCCTGACGAGACACCTGCCCTGTCCTGCCTCTGGGAAGACTGGTCTTCCAGGCTTGCATCCATTTACAGCTTGTCTCCCCACCTCCATTTCCCTTCTGAGTAGTAGGAGATATTAGTAAACTTTTCTAGTGAAAAACTTTTTTCCTCATCAATAAAAATAATTCACAGTAGCTATGCAGAGACCTATCCTTTACTGTTTTTTAAATTTTCTTGTTGTTTAAATTGCCCCCTAATCCATCTGATTTTTTATTTTCTTCAAATTTCAAGTTTCTTAGGCTCAGGGCCTCCCTTGTGGTCTAGGGGTTAAGTCTTTACCCTGTCACTGCTACGGCCTGAGTTGGATCCCCGGCCAGGGAGTGACCCACATGGCGCAGCAGACCTCTCCTGTCTTGCCAGCTGCTCCCCTCAACAGTGTATTTCAGTAGACCTGCCTGTTCTGCTCCCCACTCTGTTTCTGGTGAATCCTCTCAACCCCTGCTCCTCTGGCCTACACCCCAGTTCTACTATGCACCCCCACCCCCCAAAAAAATTTCTTAGACTAGACATTGAATTTTTCTGTAGGGTTACAGAGCCTAGTGGTTAGTAATGTCATCTGACTCAGGCATGTAATAGACAGTCACTAAAAATGCACAAAGTATCCCCCTCAATCCTGCCCACACTCTCTTCAGGTAAACCCTCTGTGTTTAGTGTAAATTGAATTCCTGCCAAAACACTGCACTCTGCCTGGTCGTTTCCCCTGGACAGTTCCTTGGCTTGCGTCTGCTTCTTATTTTTTAGCTCTCTCAGTGCCCTGAATTTTGTGTTTCAGGAAAGGTCAAGTGTATTGGTTTCTGGTAGCAGCCAAGGCTTCCCTAAGGGGACCATTCATGCCTCCTAGGAAATCCGGTCGTAAGCCCCTCAGTGGCCATTCAGACTGTGTCTGAGATTGCCTGGAAGAACCATGAGCAAAGGGCCCTTGGCCCATCAGCTGAGCTAGTTCACTTGACACAATCGCATTTCGGCCCCCTCACTTTTCTCTAGTCACAGAAAAAGAAGCAGAAACCAAAGACTTGGGGGAGTGATTCAGTCTGCCAGAATCACCTGGAGGAGATAAAGATGCTTGAACCCTAAGGCTCAGGATGCTAATTCAATTTAAATAGAGGCCTAAGGATCTCTATTATTTCCTCTTCCTCTTTTTTTTTTTCCCAGTAAAAAAAGATTCAAACCCATAGACAAAGATTAAATGGCCACGCATAAGCCCTCTACCTGCGTGCACCAGTTGTGAACACTTACTAGACTTTTCTTTCTAAATATATACTGGTTTTACTGAGCTACTTGAAAACTTGTCACATTTGATTTACATATGTGTAACTCCTACATATGTTTGCTCCTAAATCATATATGCATCTTTGTAAAAGGACAATCTTCATTCTCCTGTGTGACCACAATATTATGCACCTAAGATTAACAATTCCCTAATTTTACATATAGTTCTATTTCATTTTCCCCAATTTCTAAACTCTTAGAGCTTTTAGATTTAATTTTTTAAAAAGATTTATTTATGCATACAAGAGCTGGGGTATAGGACAGGTGTGGGGGGTGGTGGTGAAAGGATACACCAGAGACAGAGTGGGGAACAGAACAGATGATCTACTGAAATCCACTGCTGAGGGGAGCAGCTGGGAGACAGGAGAGGTCTGCTGCGCCATGTGGGTCAGCTCTCTGGTGGGGATCGAATTCATGCTGCAGTGGCTGCGGATAGCATCACAGTGCTGAGACTTAACCCCTGTGCCACCAGGGAGGCCCTAGATTTAATTTTTGATTATTTTTCGAGTCTTGTTTTACAACAGCTCCCTTGCATTTTTGGAGCTTTTGACGACACTGATTATATTGAAGAGTCTGGCTAGGTCAGTTGTCTTGGATAGTGACCCATGATCTGCATTTGTCATCATTTCCTCATGAATAGATTCCTGAGGAATGGATCTTAAACGTTTTGACAAAAGCCCTGCATGAACAATAATCTGTCCTTATCACCCCTTCGACATGTCCCTAGTCATTTGGTGAACATGGTAACCGCCAGATCTCTCCAAAGCTATGCATATTTTTTCCCTTTGTAATAATCTGCGGGGTGATACTTTGCATTCATCTGGTTTTCTAAAAACCACAAATACTTTGACATCCATTTATGATTGTTGTCTTATTGCATGTGGGGGATTTGCAAGATGGCGATACTTTAAATTCATTATTGTATTAGCTTGCATTTTCCTGTAAAGAGCTTACCCCCCTTTTTTTGAGGTCTTGAATTTCTGTTTGGTGAATTATATATAGTCTATTACTGTTATTTTTTGGGTGTTCAAACTGACCCCAATTTTGGCTGGTAGGGGTTCTTTAAAGCCAGCTTTTCTTTTCATGTGGTCCTGTTGGCTGTGGGTACGTCCTTGCTTTTTAGTTGGCAAGAAATGTCAGCTCTACCTTTGGACTTTATTGTCCCAAATCTGCCCTTGCTGTGTGTCCAAGGAACTCTAGTTCCTTTTAGTGTGGGGAATAGTGTTTCGAAACCAAGGTCTGGGTGCTAGAGTTGCTCATTGCTGCTGGGGAGTCATGGCTCCCAGGACCTTTGGGTTTTCCAGATCCATATATCAGGAGCTGAAAGCATCTTTGTTTTTCTGAAGCCTTATGGGTGATTCTGATCTTTAGCTAAGTTGACCTAGACCTGTGCAAAGGGAGTCCCTATTACTACTGCTTATTTTGAAAAGCTCTTAAATTTCCCCTACACTATTCCTTCTGTTCTGCCTTCCTCAGAGAGAGTGGGTTTCAGAAGGCCTGGGCCCTGGTTCTGCTGTCTATACTGAAGCAAGCTAGCTGACCCCTGGGGGCTTCATCTTCGAAACAGGTGATTGTGAAGAACAAATGAGACCCTGTGGCCCTGTTTGCAAACTCAAGTACCGGATGCAGGGAATGTTAATAACGAAGTGTGTCAGTTCAGTACCAGATGGTGGCTGAAGCAGTCAGCAGTATGCCTGGTTCTTTAGAAGACCGTACATCACGGGTATATTACATGTAGTGAACACAATGTATGTCGCTGAGGAGGGAAAATTGAGGGGCACTGTTTTCCATTCTAAAGATGGAGAGACTGAGACCCAAGAATTGCTAAGCAGCTTATCCAATATTCTGGTTTTTTTTTTAAGATTAATTTTATTTATTTATACAAGCACTGGGTACAGTCAGAAGCGCGGGAGCGTGAGAGAATTCACCAGAGCCAGAGCGGGGAGTGGAACAGGCAGACCGATGAAGTACACTGCTGAGGGGAGCAGCGGGCGGCAGGAGAGGTCTGTGTGCCATGTGGGACCCTCACCAGGCGGCCCGGGATCGAAGTGGCGCTGCAGAGGCTGTGGGCAGCTTCGCAGCCCAGCGCTAAACCGCTGCGGCACCGGTGCAAGCCAGCAAGGGTGGGGTGGGAGGGAGTGGGGGGAGCGGTTTGGTCAGCTCTAGCTTGCATAGCCCTCTGTGTATTAGGCTCTCGAATTTTGACTCTGAGGGAAGAGAACAAAAGACCCTCAGGTGTGTTAGCAATTAAATCTATTGAATTCTGTGCATGTAACTGGCCTCTGGAGGGTCAAGGAGATGCAGGCTGGATAACACTTGGGTTCTAGAGTGGCCAGTGTCCCTCCCAGTCCCTTTGCAAAGTGGCCAGGGCTGAGCTGGTTGTGGTCTCCCGCTGCTGTGGTGCTGCTCCCTGCAGGGATGCGCCGGCAGCCTGGCTTCTGCTGCTCAGCCCTGGGCACAGGGCTAAGCACCAGGCCATGGCCTCCCCGGGCCTGTCTCTTTCCTGTCGGGCTGTGGGGCAGTCAGCTAGGAGCCCTACCTGCTTTGCACCTAACAGGAGCGCGTGAGTGTCTGCGCACCTCTCAGATGTAGTAGAAGTTTGGTGAAGTTGAACGCACCAGCATGTTGTGGCTGGGAAATCTGAGTAGGAATTCAAATTCCTCTGTGTGCAGAGAGTAGAGGGGTGTTCCCACTGTGGAGGTCATTCTGTCTCGGGGGAGGCCCCCTTGGGGGCCTTGAAGCCGCACCCTCGTGCCAGTACTGTAACTGCCTGGTTTCGGGGAGGCCACCCCCTCCGGCAGTGCCTGTTCTCTCGCAGCTCAGGCTGCGTACAGTCTCCGCCAATCTCCACCCCAGGACCGAAGGAAGCACAAGCACCGCTGACTCCCAGCTGCGTGAGGGTGAAAGTACTGAGCAAAGCCTGAGTTAGAGGTGGGGCGAGGAGGGGTGCCGCAGCCTGAGGATAAAAACGCCCACACTGGTGCCGGCTGCCTCAGCAGATCAAGAAACCATCTTTATTTAAGAACTGCCGCTACCGGAGTCCATAAATAACTACCATACAATACAAGGGAGACAGACAACAGGCCCATGGGCGTGGTTCTCCTTTAACAAAACTGAGTAGAGTCATTGGTCTGGTGAGGCCTTGCCCTGCAGAGCCTGGAGGGAGTGGGTAACTTGGAGGAGTTTGGGGGCCATGGCAGGGTGCACCCCTCTAAGGGCACTAGGCTTCCTGGGACTCTGGAGAAAGCTACCAAATCCATTTTTTCCCCCTCTTCAGCTCCCCTCCACGGGCCTGCCTTCCCAAGGCCTGTCCCTATAAACTCAAGTCCACGGGGTGCCCTCATCTTCCAGGCACCTCTTCCCCAAATGCCCACTGGATCCCTAACACCACTCCCGGAGCCTCCTCCAGCCCCACGACGAGGCCCAGGCCATAGCCCGGCCCTGTGCCTCCAAGGCCGCTGTGAGCCAGTGCTGTCCTTGCTGCCGCGGGCTTCCAGCCAAGACAGGAGAGCTCTGTAACTGGGGAGCAAGGCTCCTTAGCAGCGCGGGCTCTGGCCTGGAGTAGAGACTAGGGCTCGTGGGATGGCCAAGAGGCCTCACTGGTACCATACCCCTAGGGACGGTGCTGGACTCGCTCCCCATCCCTGGCTGGCAGAGGTGCTCCCAGACTTCCTGTGCAGAGCACCTTTGGATTCTATGAACCTCAGTCCTGGAGAGACACAGCGCCTCCACACCTGTCCACTCCTCACTTAACCTAGACCTCAGGCCCATGGCTGTCAAAATTCTTCAAAGTTCCCTAAAAGAGGAAGAAACCTCTTATTCCCTCCAAGCTCATTGCAGACGGGTTGTCTGATGTCTAAAACCCGTTTCTCCTGATATTTCATCAAAAGGAAAAGGCCCCTTTCCCCCAACCATGGCTTCCTGTTCCCTGGCACCATCTGTATCATTTGATACCCTAAATGAAAGTAAATCACCTGATCTCGTGGGGCCCAGATGCCACCTGGGTGAGGTGCACACTGGGACTGTTAGAGCAACAAAGGCCAAGTAGCCAAGGCCAGGGCCAAAGGACCCCAAAGTTGAGCCCAAATGTGTGTGGGGTGGAGAGTGTCTCCCTGGGCGCTGAAGCTGTGCCTGAGGTCTGGCCGGCCCTAGTCCACGAGGCACTTCCTGGCCACCACGCTGCAGACAGCTTGCTTGTGGCAGGGACTCGGTGTGTGAACGGGAACCCAAGATGCAGTCACGACCACCGGGGGTGAGCCCAGCCTGTCTGGGCGGAGAAGATGAAGATCAGAGGCCCGGGCAGGAAAGGGCTAGAAAGTCATCTGATCTCATCCTCTGCCTCCACCAACGCCCCTGCCCAAGCCGCCCCATAAGGAGATTGCATTTCACAGACCTGCATGCCCTTATGGGGCGTCCTTGCGTCTCCGACCGTCTCACTAAGCCTCAGTCAGGCCTGGGCCTGAAAGCCTCAGGCTGCAGAAACAGCATTTTCTGTAGTTCTACATCTCCAAACAAGTTCCCCTGCCTGGTGCTTAGGTTTTCCTGGTTAAAAACCCTGGGTTTCTCGGCAGGCCTGCCTTACTCCCCACTTCTAATGGGCCTCACTAGGCCTAAGATTCCTAGTTGTACCTTTTGCCTCAAGCAAACTTGGGGCTGTGGCCTCCAGCTGTACTCAGAGGCCCAGTGCCAAACTGGCTCATCCTGCTTGGGCCAGCATCTCTGGCCCTGTCCCCTCTTAGAGGCAGCTTAAGGCAGTGAGAAAAGAATAGGATGGGCCTCAGCGGGAGGCTTCTGGGGCTCAACACCCCTTTTTGGACCGAGCTGGGCACAGGTCAAACCATAGCCACCTCTATGGGGGTGAGTGTGGGTGTGAGGCCGAGTTTGGGGTCCCCAACCCTTGCATGGTGGGGCTGGACAGGGTAGGTGAGGAGGTTTGATCGGTGGGCTCCAGAGAAGCAGTCCTGATGGGGTGAGGGGTACAACAGTAGCTTGGAGGAAAGGGGTGTGAATATAACATTTAAAAAAATTCTGGTGAGTAAACATCAACGTAAACCTGCCCAGGAAAACAGCAGGACTTCAAAGTCTAAAAAACATAACAAAATAGAGATCTAACTGTAAACTACAGAAACCAGGCTCGGGGCCTCAGGCCTGTCCCCTGAAGGTGCCTGCGTTGCTGCTGCCAACGTGAGGCCGCCTGTGAGGCTCCGGGGGGGCTCCTGCCTGTGCGTCCACTGCTGCCTGGAGTTGGGGACGCTCTGTCCTTGCTTCGGCCTCTCAGAGTGAGGATGAGGAGCAGGAGAGTCAAGCCAGCAAGGCCCGCCGAGGCCATGGCAGAAGGAAAGGACAAGATGTCTCCGGCATCCACCCGGGTCTTGGGCTGGGGCCCAGCCATGCCCGCCACCCCATGATCACCCACCTGAACCTCAGACTTTTCATACCCCACTGTCTTTAACCACCTTCCTAGCCAGGTAGGCCACTCAGCACCGCCCCTTCCTCTGGAAAGACAGAGCCTGGGCCAGGAAGGCAGGAGACTCGTGGTCTCATCCCACTAACAGGCTGCAGCCCTGACCCCTCCCTCTGCTCCTCATCTGTCAGGTGAAGGCCTTGGACAGGCCAAGCTCCAGAACCTCTTCCAGGTCTGTCGTGCTGTGACTGGTCATACACCCAGAGCACCAGATAGGCTGTCCCATTTATTAACCCCTTTTTCTTCCGGGGAAAGGCAAGAGCAGTCCGAGGCGGCCTGGGGAGTGGGCCGCGCAGGGTGTTGCAGAGTGATCCTGGGGTGGTACCCCACTTCCCCTTTGCCCTTCTCAGAAGACCCTCACACAGAGAATTAATGCCGCCAGGCCTGCGTGAGTCAGTGCCAGCCCAGTGGGGCCTGGGCCTGCAGGCTGAGCTGGAGGAGAGGGCACAAGCCAGGAGGGCTCTGCAGGATGGTCTTGGTGGAGTGGGGGCCTCCCCAAGACAAGCCCTTTAGTCACCCAGTCACCTGTCATGGCTCTCACTCTGAGGGCGATGGGTCAGGTTGGCAGTGTTGGTTAAGAGGGCACATCACCTGCATTCTCACTGTGCGTCAGGCCACATCTGGCACCTGAGAGCAGCTCCTTCCTGTTCTGTCCCCAGCAGTCTGGGGTAACATGCCCTGATGCTGAGGGGCTCAGGCTGCTGCCTCAGATGTCAGGCCCTGGTTCCCAGATGGCAGGAGGCAGGGCTTGCTAGGGAGTCATCAGGACAATGTCAGAGAAAGCAGGAGAATGCTCGGTCCCAGGCTTTGACCATCTCCTCAGACTGTGGGGTCCCCGTTCAGCTGGTCACGTCCAGCATTCCTGCTGGGCAGAGATGTCAGCTCTCAGGGAGCAGAGTCCACGAGTGGTCCCATGTGCCATCTCTGCCGACGTGCAGACACATGTTCAGAACCCCTTCCTCCCACAGGCCTGGTCCTTCCATCTGGGCGCAGTGAGGACCCAGGCCTGGGGGTCAGTGTCAGCAGAAAGTTTCTGCTTGGTGTCTCTCGATTTAAAGAAAAACAGCCCTTTTGGGCTCTATCCTGTATGAAATACCCGCCTTCCATGGAAGGGCACCGTCTACAGTGGGGATTAAAAACCAGCCATTCTCAGGCACAGTGCTGGGCTCCTTGGCGTCAGGAAGGGATTGGCCGGCTGCTGCGTCCATCGGAGGTGGGTGTTGGCTGTGACGGAGAGGGAGGGCGCTGAGATCAGAGCTCCAGGTAGCCTATGAGGAGCAGCATGGCCACCGAGTGGGAGAGGATGGTGCCAGGGTGCAGGACCGGGCAGACCGCCGAGTTCTCCACCATCATGCTTGTGCCTGGAACCGCAGGTAGAAAAGGGCCGAGTTAGCTGGGCGGGTAGCAGCAGGCCCGTCCCACCCTTGGAGCAGCATGCAGCCCTTGGGGCCCCAGGCCAGCTTTAAGACCCAAAGAGATTCCCAGCCCTGCGTCCACAGCATTTTGTAGCACCTTTGCAGCTGCTGCTCCTCAGTCTCCCTGTGAAAGGGACACACACAGCCCCTAACCCTGGGGGTGTCTGGGGGTGTGGGTAAAGCAGTGGAGTGTGGGCAGCCTAGGGCTACTTTGCCCATGGTTTCTGCCTGCTTCCCCTTCCCCTTCAAGGACTCCTTCACCAGGCATCTGGGTGGCCCTGATACTCCTGGCGGATCAGATGGGGAAGAGGCAGCACCTCCATTCCTCACGATGTGGACTTCCGCTGGGATCCCATCCCCTCCAGGCCCTGTGGTCCGAATCTGCACCAGGGCATGGCCGATGTCCTCAGGAACTGCGATCTCTATCCAGTTCTTGCTGGTGAGGTGCAGTGTGGGCGCTGGGTGCAGGTCATTCTGGTACAGCATCTGCGGGCCGGGGATTGGCCAGCTGGGGTTTACTCAGCCAGGGCCCATCTTCTTGCCCTCCTGCAGGTACTTCTAGGAGCCCAGGTGGCTCTGAACCCTCGAGGCTTTGTCTCCTCACTGCTGTCTCCCTTGAGCAAGGCTCTTGAGCAAGCCCCTCAGTTCTGGGAGGAAGCTTGTAAAGCGGGACTGCTTGTGCAGACTCCCCAGGCCAGAGGGACCCCCAGACTTCAACCCCCCATCACCGCCCCATGAACCCTGTTTTTCTGCCGCTCTTCTCAGAGTCTTCACGACAGGCCATCCCGAGAGCCTGCCACGTATTTCGCGCCTCTCACACCCATGCTCGCTGCCAAAGGCGCACTCCACTCCATCTTGCTAGAAACCTTGTGTTCACCGCAACTACAGACACCGCCCCTCACCCAATGCCTGGTCGCCCCTTCCTCACCTTATAGCCAGTGACTGCAGACTCATTTCGGAGTGGGACCACAGGGTCCCACTTAATACTAAGACTGGAGCTCGAGAAGGTCCAGGAGATGTTGCCAGGTGGTCGCCGCGGAGCTGCAGAGGAGGGAGAGGCTGGGGAGAATCCAGGTGCCTCCTCGCCACTCATGCCCCACCTTAGCCCCTTCTCTACATGTCTGCCCACGCAGCTACCCCAGAATATTGCACCACGGCCACAAAGGAAGCAAGTCCCAGGGAGCAGGAAGGGCGGAGGAGTCCAGTCACTCATTTTCAGTAGGCTCTGGCCTTGTTTCTGTCCAGCCCCTGAGGGCCTGAGGACTGCAGCATTTGCCTATTGCTGAGGAGAAGTGGTCCTGGAGGCACCCCCTTCCACACACCCCACTGCTCCCCCAGCGTGACACACTCACGGGGCTTCATGGTGGTGGCGTTGCTGGAGGGACTGGCAGGCCCAGTGCCCGCCCGATTATAGGCCCGCACGGTCACATGGTACTTGGTGTTGGGGTGCAGGCCACTGACTCGGGCACTGGTGTCCATCCCAGCTGTCCTCACCCTGTCAGCGGCTGCTTCCTTGTCCCCAGCTTTCCAGTAGCGGATCTGAAGGGGGTGGTGGTGCCCAAGGGCTGTCGGTCAAGTCCAGGGCCTCAGGGCTTCTGTGACCCTGGCCCTGGCCACCTACAAGCTGGTTCTCCCTGTGACTCAGTCCAGGTCTCATACACCTGACTCCAGATGTGTCGAGAGCACCAAATTCCCACTGCCCTTCTGTGCCCCGGGCCCCTGAGGGGATGGGGGGTGAGTGGGGGGTCAGCAGGAACCTAGCTCCACTTAGCCCAGGGAATCCGTAAGGACTCCACTACAGGGTATGAAATGTGTACTTGGACTTGCTGGGTAGCCTCCCGCCCCCACAAGCTATGGCAGTTAATAAGAGTAATAACAATAAATGCAAAATCCATTTTAATAGTCATCTTAATTCTAAGACCTGCTAAATATCCTTGCAGGTCAAGGGTGAGTATGGAAGTATCACTCCCCTGGGGTGTCACTCGCAGGCCTGCTCAGGCCTCTCTCTTGGGTGATGACCTTTCTTACTTTTCTGTCTCACCCTCCTCTTGCTCCCTCTTGCTGTCCATCTATTCTACAGGCACCATTGTGCAGGCTCTCCAGGGAATGGACACTCAACTGGTGCACAGAGGGGCCATGCTGTCCTCTGCAGTCCTGGGGTGCCAGGCCGGACCCCGACAGCACCGGCTCCTCCCCTGGGCTCCCACAGCTCGCACTGCTGGCTCCAGCTAAGCACTGACTTCCAGGCTGTCTACAGGGCTGCGCTCCCCAACTGGCAGTAGCGACGTGGCCCCGCAAAGGCCGCGTCCACAGCGCTGTGCTGACTCTGTGCTGTCTGCCAAGTCCGTGAGTGCGTGACCTGGGCTGACGGGTTGGGAGGTACCGCCCCTGCCCTCGAGGCCTCAGCACACCTTCCTCTGCCAGGCCCGGCGCAACACTCACCTCATAGCCCAGGAGGATGCCATTCGCGTCCTGCTGCACGGGCGCCCAGCTCACGTTCATCTCCGAGGATGAGACCCCCCTGGCCCAGACCTTAGCAGGGGCCACCCTGGGTTCTGGGGACCAACACAGAATGGGTTTGGGTTCTCAGGGTCTCCCTGTATACTCAAGAGCAGTTGCCAACTGGGACTGTCCAGCCCAGGTGAAGGCCACATGAGGGTTCCCGGAGCACCCCAGAACCTCCTCCCCACTCTCGGTCTCCCCAGGCCTGAGCTGTGTTTCCCTGGGCAAGGGCATGGAATGTGGCTGGTGGCTTAGAACCCAGGTGACCCTCCACCTCCCTTCATGGAGTTGCTCGGGGTGAGCCAGCGCTCGCCCCACCTACACCCCAGGACGGGTGGCTGGTGGGGCCGGCGGTCGGCCCAGGGCTGCCCACCTTCCTCAGCTGAGTACACCAGCGCCGTGAGGCTCTCGGGCCCATCTCCTCGGTGGTTGTAGCTGCGGATCTTGACCTCAAAGGGCGTGTAGGGCCGAATGCTGTCGTTGCTGTAGACGAAGTAGTGGGTGTCGGCACCGGGCACCCGCGCACTCTGCCAGCTGGCGCTGCCCTGCCTGCGGAAGGACAGCAGGTAGCCAAAGCCGTCTCCGTTCTGGTACTCCCGTGACACAGGCTGAGGGCGAGAGTGTGGCATGGGCGCAGGGCCGCCGTGCGTTTCCCTGCCCATCCTCTCCCACCCGCCTACACCAGGAGGGGCAGCCCATCTCCAGGGGCAGCGGGTGCAGGGAGTGGGAGAGGACGTCCTCTGCTCTTGCGTGGGACTGGGCACTGGCCCATCTGATCCCCTCTGCACACGGCTCAAGCCCCCACAGCTTACCGTCCAGTTGACGATGAGCTCTCCGGGAGCGCCACCACCTCCGCTCAGTCCCGAGGGGGCCACTGAGGGCGCTGTCAGGGCCAAGGGACACACACCTGGCTTGTTACTGGGTAGTGAGGAACAAAAGCCCAAGCCTGAGCTGTAGAGCATCCTGGGGTGGGGACACCCCTTCATGTGGGGCCTGGTTTTGTCCTCTGGAGTCAGGCAGACCTGAGTTCAAACCTCACCTCTGCCACTTACTAGCTGTGGTTCCCTGAGCAAGTCACTTAACCTCTCTGAACCTCTCACTCATCTCTTCATAACCTGAGGATAATGTTTCTCAAAGGGCTATAAGGAAAATGAAATTAAATAAGACAGTGGCTGGCATAAAAATGTATATAATAAATAGATGCTCCACAAATGATCATTGTTGGTTTAAATTAAACAACAGAGACCAGCTACGTTTGTCTTTAAATTATGGGGAATAAATAATCCAGAACTGCAGTGAATGCGAAAAGCATTTCTTTGGAGTTGCAGGGTATTTTATTATTATTTTTACTTTTACGGCAGATTAAATTTCCTAACTGTCTCTAGTATTTTACAAGGCTGATATTAAAACAAGAATGCATTTCATCAGCACATGAATCTTGGCAGGGGTAACTTGGCTGAGGGTCAAAATATTTCAGCAGAGTCCAGCTATCAGAGACTTATGGCTTGATTCTGAGCAGGCACAGTCAAGGCCTTGTGATTACAAGGAGCCCATGTGTTCCTGTGACGTGGGTGGAAAGACCGGGCCCAGAGCAGTTAAGTGACGTGCCTGAGGTCACACCACGTGTGCATCGTACAGCTCTCCTGGTTTCAAAACCCGTCATCTCTACTCTGTGTCATAGCTGTCTCTGTTCATCACTCCAGGGACACGAGAATGAAGGAGACCCTCCCCCACCCCCGGCCTTCCTGACATTTGATATCCACATTCAACAGGAAAAGTGCTTCTTCTGTAATTCCTTACCCGGGAGAGGTACCACTTAAAAATGCTGACTAATTCCCTCAAGCCTGGAGACTCAGTCCAGGGCACACGGACAGTGGGACAGGCTGGGTGGTGGGGCCCAGCAGGGCCTGATCCTGCCACCCCTCCAATCCCGGGTCTCCTGAGCTTTCACCTGGGGAAGGCTGGGCAGGAGCCTGGCAGCAACTGTGCATGGGGCCTGTGCTTCCCGGTCTCCGGGCACCGCCCCTTCCTTCCCACACACCCTTCATGGAGGGTGTGAGCAGGTGGTCATTGCCCCTGTTCCCAGGAAAACCATCTAAAGCAGGACGCTCGCTGCTTCCCTAGTGCCTTCACATGTGAGCGTGCATGAGTGCACACACGCATAGGCACACACATGCATATGCACATGCACCCCTTCCTCATTAGCTGATTTCTGCAGCTTGTGAACTTCCGGCTCATGTGCCCACCACCTCACAATCCAGGTCCAGTCCAGATTCCACCTGTCTGACCCTTCCCTTCTCCAAACTTTGATTTTTTTCTTTTCTTTTTTAATTAAACTTTTCCTTTTGACATACTTGTCAATTTAATGCTGCTGTAGGGTTGGCCCATTGTTCACATGAGGGGTTCGGACAGGATGGACCTTCCAGCCCCAATGGGTGGTGGTTCCGGGCAGCAGCCGTGGTCCTGATGTGCTCCCCCCTTGTCTGCTCTTTAGGGGCTGAGCCTGGGGAGCAGGTGGGAACTCGGCTAACTGCTACTCAGTGGGGACCCCTCTAAGGCCAGCTCGTGTGTGCCCCTCTGTGCTTCTCCTTGGGACACCTAGGACTCTGACCTGCTTCCTTGGTTCGGATTCTGCTGGAGGGCCCACTGGGCTCCCCAGTGCCCAGGATGTTGCTGGCCGAGACCCGGAACTCGTAGTCCATCCAGGGCGTGAGGCCCAGCACCTGGGCAGTCTCGGTGTTGCCCTCGATGTTGGCGGGATCTGCAAGGCACCTGTGAGTCAGCTGGTATTCATTTATTGGCTGGACAGAGAGGGCAGGGACTGGTCTGAACGCCTCTTTCTACTTCACATCAGACCAGTGGTTGAGATTGGTAGGTGGCCTCTTGTGCCAGCCCTCCTGGTGGGCCCTGCCGTATGCTAAGTGGTCTTGACTTCTTTCAGAGACCATCAGAAAGTCAGCAGCCTTTATGGACTGTGCACACCCCACCCCCAGGAGTGTTTTCATTGCTCCACTGTCAATCCTGATAACCTTCCAAGGGCACTGGGGAGCGACGCCTCCTCCAATTCTCTCCCCCATCCTCCTGCTGTCCTGCTGTCCTCCATGGTTGGGAACTCCCTGCAGGTAGAGCTAAGCCCGTCCCTCACTGAAGCTCCAGGCCCATTCTTGGCCCTCTGGCCCCTACCAGGCCTAATCAGAACTAACCAGGGTGGGGCCTCACACTTACTGGTGCGAACCTGCTTCCACTTCCCTGCGGGTAGAGTGCGAGCTTGCAGGGTGTACTTGGCAATGGGGCTGTGGTTGTCGAAGCCACGGCTCCAGCTGAGCTGGACAGTGGTGTCTCCGATGTCCCTTACCACCACGCCTCCAGGAGGGCCCGGGGGACCTGCAGCCAGAGGTGAGAGCAGAGCTGGGCACAAGCGGGCAGCTTCAAGCAGGAGCCAGCTTGGGTTGGTGTAGTACCACTATGGGGCAACAGAGGGCGCCAAAAACACATGGGGGAAGGGGCGAGGCAAGGAGTGGGGGCAGCGGATGGGACCTGGGCTGGGAGGTAGGCAGACTGTGTCCAGGACCCGGGGAGGGTGAGAGGAGGTTCTCGTGGGGCCCTGTGTAGCTCTCCAGTGCTGGGCTGTTGACTTTGACACCTTCTGGTGCTCCACTCTTAGGATGTGTTAGGAGTGAACTTTTGGGATTTGGGTTTGGAGGGAGAATACTGATTCAGCTAGGATCTCTGGGGAGCCGCGCGTTAAGTTCAACCCAGGGGACTTCTGTCAGAAGCCCTCCCCACAGCTTTCAAGGGGAGGAGAGTCAGGGCGGGGAGGTCACAGTCGACCAGGGAGCAGGGGTGTGGGTGGGCGGGAGGCCCCATCACCTCGAACCAGGACTGTGGCCTCCTTGGTCGCGCTGTCCACCACCGTCTGGGCCATGCACGCATACTTGCCCCCATGGCGCAGCTGGGCATTCAGGATGGTCAGGTCCCCCACAGTCTCCTTCTGCACTCAGAGGGCAGGAAGGGACAGGTTGGAGGGCAGCCAGAGGGCCACGAGGCCAGAGGAGGGCCTGACCCCACTCTGTCCCATGCACGGACCCTCTGGCCCTCCGTGTTCCTCGCTGTTGAATGGGAGGAATCAGCGGCTCCCCATGAAGTCTGTCCCAGGCCAGGCAAAGATAGCCAAAGGAACGTGTGCCGGGGGTCAGGGGAGCCCGGGGGGTCAGGAGGGCGAGAAGGGCAGTGGGAAGCGAGTCTGGCCGGGAGCCTGAGCTCCCTCTCCTCATGCATGGACTCGGGGATCTGGCCCTCAATGGGAGGGTGGTTACGAATTCCAGGATGAGCCTCCCGGGCATGGCCTTCCCGAGGGGTGGGGATAGCTCTGGGATGGTGTGGGTTAAGGACATCTTGGGTCCCCAGCTCCCTCAGGGGGAAGGAGGCGCCAGGGCTCTCTGGCCCAGGCCTTACCATGCTGGCCCTCCGGTAGTGGCTTCCCGGCTTATCGAAGTCTATGGGAAAGTCGTCCAGGGTCCAGATGAAGGTGAGGTCCATGGTGGGGTCGTGGGAGGCATGGCACTGCAGGGTCAGGTTGTCCCCCAGATTGATGTCGGCACTCGAGGGGGCCAGCGTGATCTTGGTTGCATCTGCCAAGAAAAACAAGGCCCCTAGTGGATAGGGAGGAAATAGGCCTGGGCAGGGGTGCTGGGCAGGGAGAGGGGTTTTGTCTGTCCCCTCCCGCCACGCCACCCACCTCCCCAGCCCTGAGAAAGAGAAGAGGCAGCATGGCCAGGAGCGCCTGACCTCTCAGCGGCCCCACAGGGGCAGGAGGGAGGCAGGAGCAGATTCTGGAAGGTGGTGAGTGGGTGAGGGGGTGGCTCTGGGGGTAACCTCAAGGCCACACTAGGGGGAATGTGGGAACACAAGAATAGAATGGCGAGGAGGGAGGGCACCCCTTGATGGCTGAGCCTACCAACCTCAGCCAAACCACAAGCATACCTCGCACGGACAGGATGCCCGTGCTGTTGGCCTTGCCCATGAAATTCTCTGCAAAGCAGGTGTATTTGCCTTCATCTGACCGACTGATGTTTCTTATAATCAAGGTGCCCTCTGGAGTCACAGTCACTCTACAGCAAGGACAGAACAGACGGTCAACCCCGGAGAGGACAGGGCTGCGCCTGGTGGACAGTGAGGAGGACCCAGAGTTGCCCGGGGCGGGGGAGGCGCTGTACCTGCTGCTGTTGACCAGAATCTCAGTGCCTTTGCTCCAGAGCACCACAGCCTTCGGCGCTGCCCGGGGCTGGCAGGGGATGGCGATCTCGCCTCCACGGGCTGCAGGGATCAGACGCCTTACGGGACTCAGCCTGAAGTCAGGGGCCAGTGCTGGAAGGAAAGAGGGGCCCCACACAGTCACAGCAGTGCTCATTGTCCTTGATCAAGATGTCACCCGACTGGGGGCTCTCTGTAGTCAGTCCACGAGGGACCCCTAACAGCACACCAGGATCCAGCCCTTTGCCCCCTCCTCGGTCTTCCAGGTTCTGCAGTGACTTCCTATGTCTTGGTTCCACCCAGCAGTCAGGAATATCTTGAAAACCATAAGCTGGGACTCAGAACGAAGTCCACCTCCTTCCAAGGGCTCACAGAGGAGTCCCCACCTCTCTGACCACTTCCTGCTCTGCTTTCCCTCACTCATGTGCTCCAGTCTCTCGGGCCATTTTTATCCTTTGAGGAGGCCAAGTTTTTTCCTGCCTCAGGATCTTTGCACTTGCCACAGGGTTTACTTAGAAGTTCCTAGATCTTCATGTGAATAGCTCGAAACTCAGGTCACATCCCGAATGTGACTTCCTTGCTCTTCCATTCTGACCATCCATCTAATCATCCTGCCTTAGCCCCACCCTCTGCTGGAAATTTTTAATACTATATTCAGCTTTGTGTTTATTTATCCTCCGCTCTCCACTGGATTATATAATACTTGAAGGCAAGTCTTTTATCTTCAGGTTTTTCTTTTTTTTTATGATTTATTTATTCATGTATACAAGAACCGGGGTACAGGCCAGATGTGCGGGAGGGTGAGAGGATTCACCAGAGACAGAGCGGGGATCATAACAGGCAGAAGGACTGAAGTACACTGCTGAGGGGAGCAGCGGGCGAGACAGGAGAGGTCTGCCGTGCCATGTGGGATTCTCGCCGGCCGGCAGGGATCGAACCTGAGCTGCAGAGGCTGTGGACAGCTTTACAGTGCTACGCTCAACCACCTGCACCACCGGGGGAGGCCCAATCTTTCAGGTTTTTCTTTAGGATCTAATGAATGAATTTTGGTGGGTTGAATGAAAGTTCATATTAATGGACGAATGAGTCTTAGTTAAGCCTCTGTACAACTTGATGGGGTAGATATCACTATGCCCGTTTTACAGATGGGGAAACCGAGCTCCACAAGCCAAGTCACGCAACTAAGACCAGCACTTGTATGTGGCAGACAGTCCTTTATGCTTGGCCATCCTCACCACAGCTGAATGAGAGCAGAAGTTATTGTTCACATCTTACAAACCAAGACAGAGACACAAAAAGATCAAGTAGCTTAGCCGAAGGGGCTGGGCTAAGCACAAAGCTAACTGCTTTGGTCTCCACTGACACGTGCACCTTTTTTTCCCTTATGATCGAGGTGCCCTACAAGTCACCCCACAAACATTGACTCGGTCCATGGCAGGCAGGAAGCAAGCAAGAGCCCACCCTCAGAAGTGCTCAGCCTAGGGCCTCATCTTTCTTAAATACCCAGGTTCTGCTCAGAAGCTTTCTAAGGAATGCGGCCTCCCTGGTGGTGCAGGGGTTAAAGACAGCGCTATCAAACTATTGCCAGCCACTGCAGCAGCGTGAGTTCGATCCCCGGCCAGCCAGGGAGCAAACCACATGGCACAGCAGATCTCTCCTGTCTCGCCTGCTGCTCCCCTCGGCAGTGTATTTCAGTAGATCTGCCTGTTATCCTCACTTTCTCTGCTTAATCCTCTCATCCCCCGCACCTCTGGCCTGTACCCCAGTTCTTGTATGCATAAGTAAATAAATCTTTAAAAAAAAGAGAGAGGAAACTGTCTAAGGAAAACCGCCAGGGCATGTTTCTGTGTTTAGAAATGCTGCCCCCCAGAATTGTAGCCCCCGCCATGTGTCCTTGGGAGTGTCCCCTGCCTCCTGGGGCCTCTACCTTGCACGGCCAGCTCGGCGCTGGCATAGATGGTGCCGTGCTTGTTCTCCGCCACGCATTGGTACATGCCCGAGTCCTCCAGGCTCAGTTTGGAGAAGCGTAGGTCCCCAGCCAGCACCTCCACCCGTGTCTGAGAAGAGTCGCCCAGGGCGGGCCGGGGCATCAGGACCACAGCAGGGCGGGGGGCAGGGGGAGATGGGCAGAGGGGGCACTGTGGGACCTCCCTGAGGAGAGGCCGGATCTGTCCAGTCCCGGCACAGGGTAGCCCGGGATCCTAGGGTTCTGAGATTGCCTGGGACTCCCCACACACCACCAGAGACTGCAGCGAGTTTGGGCCTGATCTGTGCCTGGACCAGGTCTCTGCGCCTCCCATCAGGAGTGGTTGACCAGTCCGATGTGATTCTGGGATGAAAGAAGACCTAGAGCCACCCCATGGCACCCTGATTGGCCCCGAGGGGCTGTCACCGGAGCAGGGGCAGCCTGGGTGGTGAGGGAAGCAGGTGATGTGAGCAAGGAAGTCCCAGGTCTCCTACCTGGGAGGCCAGGGGCTCCCCGTTTCGCAGCCAGCGCACTGTGGGCCGGGGCTTGCCGGCCGCCGCACAGCCCCAGCGCAGATTGGAACCGATGTCGGCCTCTGTGTCTGAGATCACCTTGAGCCACTCAGGCTGAGCTGTGGAGAGCAAAGGAGAGAAGGAACGTGCATGAGGCGGGGCAGCCTCCAGCTGGTTAAAAGGAGAGATGGAGGGATGCAGTTCCTGACAAAATCCGCAGAGGGCGTCCTCACTGTGGCGTGGGGAGGAGCATGAGGGGGAGAGAAGCAGGTGGCACTTGACACCATTGCCAGTGACTGTTTTAGCAACTTAAATCATTCCAAGCCCTTCTGCCAACTCCCTGCAACTTGGACTGAGGAGCCACAGGGATGGCTCCTGTCCCCACACCCCGCCCAGCACGATCCTGGGGCAAGAAGGCTTCAACATGGGGCCCGCCCACTCCCTTCTGTGGCTTTTGGATCCATGACCTCAGGGACAAGGGCCAAAACAGGGGGCGCGGGGCCCCGGCTCTGTACCCTGCACGATGATGCGTCCCTGGACTGTGTCCCGGCCCTTGGAGTTCTCGGCTTCACACTCGTAGGTGCCCTCGTCCTCGAAGCTGACGCTGGGGATCTGCAGGGTGGGCTCGGCTATGGCCCACTGGGGGGACAAGGAGCCGTCCACTTTGCGCCACTTGATTCTCGGGACAGGGCTGTCAGGGAACATGCCGAGGGGGCGGACTGAGCTGGGCAGGCTCCCCTGTGCCTGCAACTCCCAGTCTCGTGTGCCCCCCAGAGGCCAGGCAAGTGGGCAGGGGGAAGACTGCAGGGAGTCAGGGCCTGGGAAGCAGGAAGGAGAGAGACCAGGTGGGCTCAGCACAGCAGGTGCAGTGCAGAAGCAGCTTCGTCCCTCCCGTACCTGCACCAGCTGAGATGCCAACGAAACTGACTTCTTGTGTTCTCTGTGCCCTGTACCTGCTTGCTCTCCCCGCCCCTGCAATGGCCACTCACCTCTTCTAGGGCTGCCTCCTCAGCAGTGGCCTGTGACTTAGGTCTTCAGGACTCCCCTTCCCTCTCCCCAGCAAGGCTTTAAAAGGGGCCTCAGTTATTAGTAATCTGTATGCAAAAATGGACTGAGGGGGGCCTCCCTGGTGGCACAAGGGGCTAAGAACAGCACTATGAAGCTATCTGCAGCTTCTGCAGCACAAGATCGATCCCCGGCCAGGGAGTTACCCACGTGGCGCAGCAGACCTCTCCTGTCTCGCCCGCTGCTCCCCTCAGCTGTGTTATTTCAGTCAGTCTGCCCATTCTGCTCCCCACTCTGTCTCTTGTGAACCCTCTCACTCCCCACACTTCTGTGCCCCAGTTCTCATATGCATAAATAAATAAATCTTTTTTAAAAATTTTAAAAAAGGAACTGAGGTGCCAACAAGTCTTTAAGGCACTTCCGTGGGCCTTTAAGATGGACTTTCTGGAGGCCCAGTTACTCTCCACAATGCAGAGGGTATGCTGAGGAATCCCAGGAGACAGTGATGGAAGAGGGGACCGAGGTACGTATCATATTGCTTCATTCTACAAACATTTTTGAGCACCTGCTGTTTGCTAGCCCTATTCCAGCAGGACCTTCATCTGGGAGAGCAAAACTTCCATTGTGACTTTTAAAAAGATGATTGCTAGTATCCAAAAAACACTTCCTTAGTGCCAGGGTGCCAGGGGCTTTCCACGCATTAACCCGGGTAACCTCATAACAACCCTCTGAAGCGCCCACTGTCAGCAGCACGGCCATGTGCGAGTGGATAAGGGAGGAGGCGAGGAGGCTGAGTGGTGCTGGGCGGGGGGCTGGGTCTGGACTCCCTGCTCCTGCCTCCACCGGTGTCTCGTAGCTGTCCCAGCCTGTCATGTGTTGCTGGGAGGACCCAGCGCGTGCCAGGCGGCTGGCGTGTGCGATGCTTCACCCGAGAGTGCCCCGTGGGCCACTGTGGCAGCTCCCAGGGGACGCAGGGCCAACCTGCCTGCCCTCTCCCTGGGGTGCCCCATGCCACAGGGGGGCGCCGAGAGGCAGTGCCTCTCCTCTTCCACCTACTTCCCGAAGGCGAAGCACTCCAGGGTGACCTGCTGCCCCACCAGTGCGTAGGTCTCTGCTGGAAGCCGGGCCTTGATGTTGGGCGCGAAGAGCCTGGTGTCTGGGGAGATGGGGTGTGCAGATCAGATGCAAAGGTTTGCGGGCAGGCGCCCCTGCACGCACCATCTCGACACCACTCTGAGCTCACAATGGACCCCCTTTCTCCTGGGGGGATACTGGGCCAAGGGGTTGAGGCCTGGCTGCAAGAGGAACCAGGGTCCACCCTGGGCCCAGTACCCGCCAGCCACTCTTTTCACCCTCGAAGGGAAGGGCCCTTTCCCAGGGATCCTCTCACCGCCCCCTCCCCACCCGCTGACCCTGACCCTCAGCAGCCAGGTTGAGCTGCGCGAACTTGCTGAAGACGCTCTTGGTGGAGAAGTCCATGTGGCTGGTGGCCAGGCAGGAGTAGTTGCCCAGGTCCGAGGCATTGGTGCGGGCGATGTACAGGTTGCCCGTGGTCTGGGACACGAAGTGGCGGCCGTCGGTCGGGATGAAGTTGGGGAACTCATTAAGGAGCCAGCGGTAGGACAAGCCTAGGACACCAGGGGGTGCTGGGTTAACAGGGCGACTCTGCATGGGACCCCAACACTTGGAGGGGTGTGTTGACCCTGTCCTGTGGGCCCTTGCCTCTGCATGGGGACGGAGGGGAGATCCTGAGGGAAGATGCAGCTTTATTCCTGCCCTGGGCGACCACCTTTTGCCAGCAAAGCTGTCTCTGCCCTGGGGGGACCTTCAGTCTGAAGGGGAGGCAGGGCGCAGAGCTAGAAAATGGCGGACCCACAAAGGAAACACAGAATCTTCTAGAGTTGGGGGCTCCGGCAGCAGGGCTTCCCCCGTGATATGCCGCCTCTCATTCCTTCCCTTCTAGATGCCCTTCCTGTGCTCCTGTGTCTAATGAGGCCCTGGTCCTCACTCACCTGGGTAGTGGGCGGGTGGGTTACAGGGCAACATCACCCCCCAACCTTCGTGGGTTTTCACTGGGTCTCGTTCCTCCTTGGAGAATTCCTGCAGAACTGGGGGTACAGACCAGGCCCTCAGACTTGGACCTCTGAGCCTGGCGCCCTCCCCCACTCAGCCTCCTTGGGAAAGAAGCTTCTGGGGCACATCATGTCACATGAGGCCAGCAGTTTGCTTCAGGACACTTCCCCCCACACCTCTTCCCCTGACAGTCTTGGCACCCCCTGGGTCTCACAGCCAAAGTGGAGGACAGCTTCCCTGCTGATGACAGTGCCCACTGGGTTTGAGGCCAGGCACTGGTAGACGCCGGCGTCCTGAGCCTTGGTGGGGTTCAAGATGACCAGGTTACCCCCGACCAGCTGGTGGCGAGAACCCGGCTCCAGGTTCATCTCGGTGCCATTCATCTTCCACCTGCCGCAGAGGAGTGGGGGGCCCTCGCCTGAGTCCAGCCGGGTGGCAGGGCTGACGTGAGGGAAAAACTGCATGGGGCTGTCCTCCTGGCACCCACCCCAGGGGTCTCACCTATAGGTGGCCGGAGGGCTGGCCCGCGCACGGCACACCAGAGTCACCTTCTCCTCTGTGGACTCCTCTGGGAATAGCAGGCTGAGAGGCTGGTCTTCAAAGACAGGCCCAAAGGTGGCCGGGGCTCCCCGGGCTAAGCTCTGAGCTGCAATGGGGAACAGCACCAGAGGCCTCAGGGCCTGGGGCCAGCTGCAGCCTGGTGCTGTCCAGTAGGACTGTGTGATGAGGGAAAATCTCAATTTCCTGCCCTGTACAGGGGTGGCCACTAAGCCATCAGGCTCTTGGGCTGTGACTGAGGAATCACATTTTAAATTTCATTTCATTTTATTAATTAAAGTTTGTATTTAAGCTCCAACTAGTCCAGTTATTTCAGTCAGTCACCCCCACACACTCTGATACTGAGAGCCTGCTGTATGCCTGGCCTGGGCGAGTCTGTGTTGTAACAGTGAATGAGCCAGTGGCTCTTCAGGGAGGAGTTTGCAGTCCAGGGAGGAGCCAGGACGGACAGCACAGGGTAGGAGCCATAGCAGCAGCTCACACTCCACCTGGGCCTCAGCACGGAAGCCGTGGACCCTGCCTGGGGGCCGAGGGCGACTCTCCTCACGGGAGAGTCATCTGTGGGTGTGAGTGGGCCTGGACAGACGTGCGAGGTCACTGGCCCCAAACGTGGAGAGAGTGTTCCTGAGCCAGGCCCCCTCCAGGGTTGTGTGCCCCAACAGAAGAGCCTCTGGCAGAAGCAGAGGGACTATGGACTCACCCCCAGAGGACACAGAGGAGGCCTGGGCAGGGTGTGTGCCCAGCAGGGAGGTGTCAGACCCGGCATGGGATGGGGCAGGGGTTGGGGGAAGAGAGCCTTACAATGGGTGGATGGTGGCAACTTTGGGGGCATTTTCATAACATTCCAGTGTGAGAGAAGACAGAAAGTCCCAGAAAAGGCACACAGGTCCAGGCCGCTCCTGAATTTGCTGAGCAAGTGGGTATCATACAGGTAAGAGGAGTTTCCCTGCTTGCCCTCCTCCTCGTGGGCTGACGCCCCTTTTCCTGCCCATTGTTTAGGGTCACTGGGATGGGGACACAGGGCAGGGTGGGCTCTTCCTGCCCATTTGACTCTCCTTTGTGGTATCAGGCAGGAGCCAGGCCACCCCTAATTGGCTCCCACTCTGCAATGCAGCTGATTTCAGGCCCTCTTCGTTGGGTCCTGGTAGGGGGTGGACCCATTAGCCAATTAGTGCCTCCTCTCCCAGCACAACCAGCTGTCAGACCTATTCCAGGGATAGGAGGTGGCCCCATCACAGCTGAGGCCCGGCCCCGGACCCCTGGGAGTGGGGGCAGCTATTTAGCAGCTCTCAGAATGAGCAAAGAGCAGGGCTCTCAGGAATGGCGTCCTCTACCCCTCCCACCATCTCCCACCATGATCCCTCACTGGCTCCCCAGGCCTTGGAGACTGTCTGGGCATCATCTCGGCTGGAGCGCCCAGTTTAATCCCAAGTTAATGATGGTGATGGAGGGTAGGGACCCCTGCCTCAGCTGGGACCTTCGGGAGGTGGGGGAGGAGGGGCTGAGGAAGCAGTTAGGCTGCTGGGAGTACCTTGCAAAACAGCAGCTTCCAGTAAATCTGTCTGGATGAGGGGTGGGGGTGGCGAATGGCCTGGGGACACTGACGCTCTAAGACTGGACTGGACTTCTTCCTGAGGATATTTTCGCCGCTGCTTGCGGCTGTACACATGCCCCCCTGCAACATCCACACCAGCCCTCCTCCAGTAAATTGCCACATCTCCAACCGACACACACAAACATACACACACACACTCATGCCCAGCTACACTACCCCAGGAATCAGATATACACATCTGTCCCCTGGCACATATACACAGGTGAACTTAACACACATCCGGGCATCCACAGTAATAAAAATAGGCGCTGCGCATCGAGGGCTTCCTGTGTCAGACAGCAGTGCCCGCCATGGTTTTTTTCTAGTAACCTCTTTATAAGACCAGAATTGCCATTTTCTCATTTGACTACTGTGGAAACTGAGGCTTAGGAAGGTTAAATAACTGCCCCGATTTACACAGCAAGGAGGAGCGGATCTAGGGGTTTGGGCCTCCCCAGCCTCATCCCATAGCCAGTGTCTTTAACCAGTGTCCAGGATCCTTGACCTCAGCTTCCCATCAGAACCAGCAGGCACCTTGTTCCATCCTTGTGTAACTGAACCCGAATTTCTGGGAATGAGGCTCTGAAATCTGGCAGTTGAGGTAGAGCCGCCAAACCATGCTATAGGCCTTCCCTACACTTTCATAACCCCCCAAATGTAGCGCCCCATCATGCAACCACTCACCTCTGTACACTGGCCAACACCCACAGACACACCCTCACTCACCCCACAGCTCCCCCTGAAACCACACACCACACACATCACACATACATACCACACACCACACACATATAACACACACACCACACACCCACCACACCCACCACACACCCACCACACACACACACCAAACACCCACGACATACCCACCACACACCACACATACACACACACCATACACCACACATACTATACACACCATGCACAAACCACACACTCACCACCACACACCCCCACAAATACCACACATACACCACACATACACACACACCACACACACACCACACATACTACACACACCATGCACAAACCACGCACTCACCACCACACACACACCACACATACCACACACACTACACACACCACACACAAACCACACACACCACACACACACACACATGGGCAAAGCCATACCCTCCTTGCTCTCTGGTTCTGAAGCTTCTCTGATTCTCTCCTGGTTCCCCATCTTGGCGAACATAGGCCTGGGAGCCTGCGGAGGAGCGGACTAGAGAGGTGAGGGCGTGGATGGGCTCTTGCTTGCCTTCCCCCTCGCTGCTGTGCTCCCGGGACATGGCAGCAGAGAAAGCAAGTGCGAGGCCTCTTCCCTGGGGGCTGGGTGCAGTGATGGGTAGGTTCGCTCCTGTCTGGGGTGCGAGATGGGCCAGTGGCCGCAAGCGTGGAGAGACTCTGTCTGCTCCGGGATGTGACAACCTGGTGGCCCCTCTCCCTCGGGCTTCCCGCACCTGTCTCAGAAAGCTGTGGGCTGCCATGCCCGTGGCCTCGGATGACCGGTCCCCTTCCCTTAGGATGGGGGATGCTGAGGATCCCAGCACTCTCCACGGCTCCCTCTGAGGGTGTCTTTGGCTCCGTGCAGCCTGCCCCCCCACCCCTCAGTGCTCCTCCTGAACTGGGGCCCAGGCACAGGTAGTTAGCTGGGTCAGCCCTACTCCCCAGCAGCCTTGCTGACTTGGGACAGGGTTGGGAGGCAGCCAGGACATAATGGGAGCAGCTGAAAGTGCGCCAGTGGAGTCTGTCCCTGGCGAGACAAGACCTGAGCCGTGGCTGCGGCCAAGCTGGGGTGGGGCGGGAGCTGACTCCCAGCGGCCAGAACTCTGGAGGGCAGGAGTCCTTACCATGAAATCTTTAGGGAGAAAGATTGGCCGGGCTGGGGGTCAGGGCAGAGAGGCCATGTAGGCGTCCCAGCAGGCCACTCGAGCAGTAGCAGGTGCTAGAGACCTTGCTCCAGCCCCCTGACAGGCTGGGGGCTGCAACCTGCCCCCTGGTGCACTCCAGAGTCTGGCTACCTGGCCTCTTGGCTGGCGCTGACCTCCACGCCTCCCACCTCGGCCCACCTTGCCTCCTCTCTCCTCAGATCCTGTTCTGTACTCAGCCCGTTTGCTGCCTGGCACAGCGTCACCCTGAAGAGCCCTCCCAGAATTCTGTGCTATTTGACCCCTGTCTCCTGCTGCCAGGGCTCTCTCTGGAGCGTGCAAGCCAGCGGAACTTTGGCCATGGTGACGGGGCGGCACAGCCCGTGCTACCCAGAATGATGCCAGCCCCTGAGACGTGACCAGTGCCATGGAAGAACGAGGTTTCCAATTCAATTTCATCTTGGTTTCCATAGTCATAGGAGGCTGTGGGCGACATGGCGGACAGTGTAGCCTGGGAGGCTCGCTTAGGGAGGCCTGCTTGTGCTGTGATCTTGCTGTGTGGCCCAGGCAAGTTACTCATCCTTTCAGCATTATTCTTCCATCTATACTATGGATGGCAAGTCCGTCCCTGCTCCTGCTCACCTCAGGTGGCAGGTGAGGGTCCCCAGTGGGAACAATGCATCAGGAGGTGGTCTCAGAAACTGAGACCCCCAGGCCCTTTGTTGTGCAGGCATCACACAGACACAGCAGTGTGAGGAACCCAGGCGCGTCCCTGCCCAGCATCCCTGCCCAGCACCCCTGCCTGGCATCCCTGCCCAGCATCGCTGCGCCCAGACGGCCCTCTTACCTGGCAAGGCGACCAGTGCCACTGTGACCACCAGCAGCAGGTGAGACTTCCTCCCGGTGGGGGTCCCCATGGCAGGCACTGCGGTGCAGGTGGGGCTCAGAGGAGTGGAGACTCAAGGACCTGGGGAGGCAGCAGGGGGAGGACTCAGCCCAGCACCCTCCCAGCCCCAGGCACATCTGGGTTAGTCTGCTCTTCCCTCAACCTGGGCAGAGTGGCTCCAGCTCTCAGACCCACCCCCCCGGCCCCCCTGGGATGGGACTCTATTACCAAGGAGCCCTCCCCAGGCTGAGTGCCTCCAACTGGCCCCCTGGGAGTCTGGCTCTGCCCTATACCCCCACCCCCACAGCCAGCAGGTGCTGCTAGGGAGGAAGTGAAGCCACAACTAATTGGCAGGCAGGAATCCACCTGCCCACTGACCTGGTAATGGCTCCTAATGTGGGGTCCAGGGGACAACTGGGCCCCTGACTGCTTAGGGAACTTGCAATGTCTCCCTCTAGAAGTGGGGGCCATTCTCCCCTGCCCCTTCCCCACAACTGTCTAGGTAGGGGTGATCGCTCAGGTCCAGCATTGTTTTTCTAGGGAGAGGGTTTCCCTGAGAACCCCAGACCCTCTCACCTGGCTCCCAGCTACTTAGGGGCTGCACTGGCAGTGCCCCCCAGTCACAGGGGCTGACAGTTACCGCTGCCCCAGAGGAGCCTCCCTCCTACATGGAGAAGAGAGAGACCTGGAGCTCTTGCAGGGAGCAGGTCACAGCCCCCTCAGTCTGGGGGATGGGCCCTATCCTGAGAGGATGGGCAGGGCCAGTGTCCATCTGCTCCCCACATCTGGGTGGACTCTTCGAGCTATGGAGGGGAGTATGGGCTCTCAGGGGCCCACTTTCAGCTCTTTGGGTGCGCCTGGGTCTTAGAGCTGCCATGGGGCGCTGGGCAGTCAGCCACCATGGGCCTCCTTGGCCCTGCATGCTTGCTTTGTGGAAATCTAAGAGGCGCAGGCAAGGGTTCAGGGCTGGGGGCGCTGCCTGGCTGGGGGCACTGCCACCATCTGGCTGCAAGGCCCCGCCAACTGTCACCACCTGTAAAGTGGGTGCCCTCTCAGGTCCCCTCTAGCTCTGAGACTGTAATATTCCCAGGAGGTGAGGGGTGCTGGTGGGGGTGGGTGCTCCTTCCTGGATGTGGGATGAAGAAAAGATGCAGACTGGCTTCTGCCCCCGGCTGGGGCAGCATGTGAAGACCTATCCAAACTGGGGCTCTCCCTCTGTTCTCTTGGCAAGAAAACTCTCCCAAACACTTTCAAACCTCAACATTTGATCCCCCTATGACCTTGTCATCTTCAACAGCCACAGCTGCCACCCGAAGGGGCTGAGGGTGGGCGGGAAGCGGCCCCAGGGCCTGTGAGGGAGGATGCAGGCAGAAAAGGCGGGTGTCCAAGGGGCTGGGGTGGGGCTGAGCAGATGGTGCTCCCTCCCCCTGCCCAACAACAGCCTCATATCCATTCCCCTTTATCAGGAAGGGGATCCAGGGCCACCTCTTCTCAAATACCCAACCCTCCCTATGCTTGGCGTGTTCATTTCCGGCATGCACCCAGAAACTCGGCAGGCATGTCGAGCCTCTCCGGCACCTCCAGCACACCGATCCCTGTGCCTGTGCTCATTGAGCCATGCCTCCTGGGTGGGCCCAGCCTGCAAGTCTCCACCCACACCCCCAGGGCCCCCCACCCCCGGCCCCAGCACAGTTCAAGGCAGCCTTGGTCTTGGCTGCACCCCATGCTGCCCTCGGAGAGCCTGTGTCCATTAAGAAGTCGTGAGGTCCCCGAGGGGAGTGGCCGTGTTTCTACCGTGGTACCACCTATACCTGGCAAAGTGCCTGCCACATAATAGGCGTCACCTGTGAGTCGAATGACCAAGAACAGATGTGAGTATGTGCTTCCAGGAGCCAGTGCACACTTACACACACTCCACTCACATAATGGAGCTCAATACACAGCGGACTAGGCCGACTAGTCTCCAGGGATCCCCGAGGGTGATCCCAAGGCAAAGTTGGGCACACACGTGCACACATACACATGCACACACATACTCTTATAGATGCACACTCTCACAGAAACTCACACCCTTTCTGTTTCAAACACTCTATCACCTTCATCCATTCATCGTGCATCTCACACATTTTCACACTCACTCTTCCACACACCTTCACACACTCCCCCCAACCTGCCTCCCTCACATGCACACACCCAGGTTTCTAGGGCCAGCAGGGTGTTTGCATGGGAGGATCTAGAAGTCAGCTCTGACGCCTGCATCGCAGGGAGCCACCCTCTTGATGGAAAGATCAGGGGACAGGAGCTAGCAACAGCAGCTCCATCTTTTGATGGTTTTGTGAGTTTGGGCAAGTTATGACCCTGGTGAAGACTCACGTTTCTCATCTGCAAAGTGGGGGCCATCCCACTTAATTGAGAGCTGTGCTGAGAGTTACATGAGCGATGGACAGCCCTGGAGGGGAACCCTGGGGCCCTGAAGTGTGCGCCGGGTCAGGGGAGGACGGGGCTCCAGACCCTACCCAGTCAGGGCACCCCATTATGACTGTTCTGTCTACTGGATTTTCTTACTAGGTTCCTGCTAAACACAGAGTTCTGTAGCTCAGTGTGCAGTCTAAGGAAGAAGGTGCTCGGTAACCTTTGCCTGCCCTTTGTCTGCCTGCCAGTCCTGGGGGCCCAGCAAGGGCTAGGGGCACCTGTCCTGAGTGTGCAGAGCAAAGCAGACTCGGGAGCTGGGCCTAGATTGGAGCGCGGGGCAAGAGACTGCTGCTCCCAGCAGTGCTGACAAGAGTAGGATGTGTGTGTGTGTGTGTGTGTGTGTGTGTGTGTGTGTGTGTGTGTCCCTCACTGGCGGGGAGCCCAAGGGCCCAGCCCTGCCTTGTTTCCTTGTGATCTAGAGACCCGCACCCTGGATCTCCCCCCAACTTCTCTGCGGTCAGAATGATCTGTGCCACCACCACAGACATTTACTGGACCCCATAGAAAACCCGCCTCAGCTGCTGGCCCTAAATGTCAGTTTAATTCAGATTTTTATCACCTTTGGGCTGGAGGACCCTGGGTACCCCCTGGGGACCAAGACCTACAGCCTCAGAGGAGATGAGGCTGGGGGATGGGCTAGGACCAGGGAGCACCTGGATTGCACTTGGGGTGCACTGTAGACCTATCTGCCTCATCAGATGTGCATGGAGCTCCATTGTGTGCCAAGGCCTGAGTGACACACACACACACACACACACACACGAGAGTTTGGGTCCCCAAGGGTGAGGCAACTGGTACCATCTTGCCCTGTGTTCATTTCCACGCCAGTATTTATTAACCATGTGCCAACCGTCAAGCCAAGCACTGGGGAGACAGTGAGAAAAGCACTGCCTGACAGAGTAAGAGTCACAGTGCACGGGCTGGCTAGCCCCCATACCACCTGCCCTATGACATGTTCTAGAATGCCCAGGATGGAGGAGGGTTTTATGTCAGGAGTAAGGCTGAATGGAGCGCTGCCAGGCCCAGCGCTGGCCCCATGAGCTCTGAGCCAGCCAAGCCTGGCCCAGGCCAGCTGCCCTGGTGCAGGGGTTCAGGCACAGGCTGGCACAGGCGGACACAGGCTGTCGCCACTGTGAGGTTGACCCTGGGAGGCACCAGCACATAGGGAGTGGGCAATTTGAGGTTCAGGGCCACCAGGGGGAGCTGGCTTTATTTCTGGGCTTGGGAAACAAAGGGCCCAGGAGACAGCTGCCGGACTGACGGCTGAGAGCTGGACCCCAGCACACTATAGGGGTTCCTGGACTGAGGACATCTGCATGGAGCCAGTCAGAAAATGATACATTCCCCCCAATGCTACCACCTGGGATGCCCAGCTCCCAGCCCTGAATCTGTGTCCCTGTCCCCCTGGACAATGGAGACTTGGGCATTGAGGGACTTGGCAACTGTTAGATGGATGTCTCTGTTGGGGACAGAGGCTGGGTGATTTGTTGTAAGTGAACAGAGACGGCAGGACCCCCGAGGACCCCCTCCTCCCTCCTATGGTTCAGCTCGCCCACTAGCAGGCAGCGCTTAAGCTGACCAGCCCGGGGCTTACTAGCTAGCGGAACCCGCATGTAACTGAGCAGCAGAACCCACATACAAATGAGCATCGGAACTCGTTATGCTCATGACTTAACCTTTCTCAGCCTTAATCTCCTGTCTGCGAAATAGGGACAACCAGGATAGTTCTTCCATCACTGGACTTTTGTGAGGCCGGCACACTTCCTGGCTCATGGCAGGTGCTTGGGAAAGCTCAGATGTCAGCACTGAGGGTGTCACCCCGGCCTCAGCACACGGGACACACGTGTCCGTAGACACCATGTCCCTTCGAGGTGGCCCGCTTCCACAGGGCAGAGTTTGGGCTGCACGCACGCATGTTAGGGACACGCTCCCACAGCCTCCAGGGTGGCGTCTTCCTCCTCCCTAAGCCCGCGGCATGGCAGGCCTGGGCAAGCACCGACCCGCAGGCACCCCAGGGGCCGGCGCAAGGGCGCAGAGTCAGTTCCAGATACCAAAGAGCACCTGTCTAGGACAGGCCCCGGCTCTGCCCAGCAGGACTTCTCAACCAGTCCCATCTCCTGACCGGGAAGTGTAAGATGGGGGGAAGAGGGGAACAGGGGCTCTGCTTTCAAAAAAGGAATTGCTACCTGGGACAGGATCACTGTCCTCCTGGAAGGTCTGGACCTTCCCACACCCCTCTGGAGGGACAGGGTCATTGGGGGCTGGTGGGGCCCTTGCCAGGCCGGGTAGGAGCTGAAGACTGTGTTTGGAAGGCCCTGGTGGGGAGGACTTGTGTCCTGAGCTGGAGGAGGTGCTGGGGCAGATTCGGGTGGGATGGAACTGCCTCAGTTCCCAGCGGGGCAGGGAGCGGATGGAGTCAGGGCGGCCTTGCAGCTGGGCTCTCCCCTGTCCTCTCTGCGCACTCCCTCCCTTCTTGCCCCTTGGTTTCTCTGCAGGCTCTTTGTATTTGCAGCTGGGGCCCAGGCTGCAGAACCCGCACTGCCCCATCCTCTAAGAGAGGCTGGGGCTGGGCCTCCCTGGTGGCGCAGCGGTTGGGTTGCGGGGCTGCCCACAGCTTCTGCAGCGCCGGTTCGATCCCCGGCTGCTCCCCGGCCACCGGAGGAGGGTCCCACATGGCACGCAGACCTCTCCTGCCGCCCGCTGCTCCCCTCAGCGTGTACTTCGTCCTTGTGCCTGCTCTGCTCCCCGCTCTGGCTCTGGTGAATTCTCTCACCCTCCCGCGCTTCTGACTGTACCCAGTGCTTGTACAAATAAATAAATAAATAAATAAATAAATAAAAATAAAATAAATCTTTAAAAAAAAAAAGAGAGGCTGGGGCTTCCAGGCTCAAGGATTTGCCTAAGATTTCAGCATTGGGGGCGGCAAGCCCTGGATCTACAGTGAGGAGTCTCTGGCCATCCTGCCCCCATTTGCTCCCTGGAGAGACCCCCTACTGGGGGAACTGGACAGAGGGGGTCTTTCACCCACTCGGGAGGAGCTGGGATAAAGGGCGGCTGTAACCAGACCCTAGATTTCTGCTTCCTGCCTTGTTCCATGTGTGGTTCGGATTATGGTAGTTGAGTCCCTTTCTGAGAACCAGGAACAGGAGCAATTGTGCCAGCTGGGTTCTGAAGAACCAAATCAAGTAGAAATCAGCAGAGCAATTTTTCATGTCCCCTCATCTTGGTGGAGAGCTTCCCCCATGCCCAGTACAGTCCTACCAGCCGGTTCAGAGCCTGACCCGGGTGTGGGGTTGAACCTGCTTCTCCCCTCGGGCTAGACTCTTCTAGGCCCAGAGGAACTGCACTGGAGCTTTGGGCAGACAAGGAAGGCTGGCAGGGAGGCCAGCAGACATTAAGCAGATGTGAACCAGGACCAGAGGAGACAGCAGCTTGTCTCTGGATGGGTGCCCTTGGGTGTGGGGTGGGGCTCATTAGACTAGAAGGTCCCTAAGGTGTACCTGGGCCTGCACCTGTCCTGGGAGGCTGCCATTTTTGTTTAGGGTCAGAAGATCACACACCTTTGCTTTTGTTTGCATCCTCTTTGGGTAAAAGAGGAAACGGAGTCTCATTTTATAGCGAGAACGCATTACATCCAAGGAAGGACTCTCTGACCCCAGGTGCTTGTACCGGGATGCCAGTGTATGGAGAGTCCTGAGAATGTCCCAGGTTAACAAAGCCTGGGGGGTTTGCCCTAGATTAGGGTGGCCTGGAAGGGTGGTAGTCATCCTGCGGGGGTAATGAAAAGGGACCTTGTCTTCTTATGGATTTCTGAGTCACCCCTTCTGTTACCTTTGGGAGAGGAGGGCCTGAGGCCAAAAAACACTGGGTCACCCACCCAACTCCTGCTTCCAGGCAGGACTCTCTCTGCCTTTGGACCAGACCCCAAGTTCTCCTGACCCTCCTGGAGCCATTGCTCCACGTGCTCATGGTTCACGCAGGCTAACTTCAATTCCTGCTGCTTCTCTGGCACCTTCTTAGCTTTGGTTCTTTGTCCAGTTCTGCCCCAGGAATCCCTCCAGCATACAAATACCACCCATACTCAGCTTAGACATTGTCTTCGAGATACACTTTCTAACAAACATTTGGCTTGAGGATGTTTGGGGTGGGTTTGCTTGGGATGTGGGGGGACATCCTCCCAACCACGGCCATTCATGATGGCCTTCAAGCTGGAACAGGTACCTGGGGGCACCCCTTCCCATGTGCTCGCTTCCCAGGAGCCAGTTTGGAGGGAGACAATATGTGCAACCATCCCCCTGAGCACATCTCCTCAGAGGCCCATCCCACGTGTCTCTATTTGGACCAGGGCTGGCTGAGAAGGTGCTGGGATGGAATTGCATAAGGAGTGAGATCTGGCAGGGGGATGGTGTGAGGGTGGGGAGGGCTGAGGTCAGTGTAGCCCTTGGGCCGGCTGGGAGTACAGGAGATGGGAGTGCAGGGATGAACTGGGGGTTCATCCTCTGCTACTCACCCACCCCCTGCCCCAGTGAACACAGGGGATTGGTGTATCTGGGGTGACTTGGATGTCAGGGCCTCAGGGTATCCTCCCCGTCTGTCTCTCCTCCTGGCTTCCTATTGCTGGCTGAGGACTCCTGAGAGATCCTCTGGGAAACTGGGGAGAACTTGGACCTTGTGGTGTAAGTTGTGCTTGGGTGGTCCTGCAGCCTGGCTTGGAAGGAGTTAACTGAGAGCCTGGGGAAGCCTAGAGAAGCCTGGGCTGCAGCTTCTCTAGGAAACAGAACTCCCCACTAGACCTGGAGTCAGGGCACCATCTCCCTGCCCCAAACCCGAGAGCCCGAGGTCACCCCAACCTCTCCCACAGGTGACCCACCTTTTATTTAACCCTTGTTCTGGTTCCTTTGAGTGGACAGGAGGTGAGAGCCAGGGGCCAGTGGATTGAGGGGCTCTCTGGCCAGCAGACTGGGAGGGGACCCTGACACTGGTGCTCGGAATGAGGTCATATCCCTCCTGAACTGGGCTATTGGGACTGGGCTCCTCTCGCAGCCGCTGAGCAGAGGAGAGAGGAGGCTGGCAGGGCTGGGAAGGGAGCTGGGGGACTTTGGGGTATCAGGCTGAAAGGAAAGGTGGTAGGGTCTGACCAGTGGCAAGCTGGACTGGAGAGGGAAAAAGTTAAGGGCAGGCACTGTGGGGTTGGAAGCCCCCCTTCTCCAGGGCTGGGGCCAAGGGCACTCCCACCGCTCCTCACACTGGTCTGTCTAGATTCCTAAACCCCAACAGCAACTGTGATTGGCAGCTTTTCCTGCTGGGATGCAGAACCCCCCCCCACCTCTGTGGTCTGCAACTGAGAAGCCTCAGTCTGTTCCCCAGCAGTACCGGGGCTCTCCTCAAGCAGGCCTTTCTCATTATACCTCCTTTCTTGCGTCTCAGACCTCAGAGATCCTCCTGGAAGAAACGAAGGGTTCCAGCCTGCCATTGGCTGGGGCTGCGTCCCCACCTCTGACCCTGGCTGGAGGCCCAGGCACTGGGGGGAGCATTGCCCTCTGGCGTTTAGATCTGCAAACAGTGTCCTGCCGGCCTGGAAGCCCCTGCCAGGCCAGCATCTCTCCTTATTGGAAAGACAAACTTCGTGCAAATCCTCCTCTCCCTCCCACCAGTGAGGATGAGGGGGAGGGATCTGAGCAGATAAGGCTGGGGAGGAGGGAAGAGAAGACAAGGAATTTCAGCCTGGTGGTCCCAGTGTCTCCCTCTTTGGGGTGTGCTTGCCTCAGCTTCTCCTCCTGAAGTCCCTGCTCCTGGACAGTCCATTGTCCAAACTTGCACACCTCCCTCTCTTCCAGCCGCCCCTCTGTCACACTGAAGCAAGACTTTGCAAACAGGTCACCTGCAGAGCAGACCCAGGGCAGACTCAGGTCTGGGCCACCAGGCGCTAGCCCATCCTCGGACTTCTGGGGCCAGGCTAAGGTCTGGGGCCTCGCTTCACAGACTGGTGTGGCTCTGCTCTGGGGGGCCAGGGCAGGCCCTGTGACCACGGCCCTTTCTGCAGGCAGTTCTCACTGCCAGTGGGAGGCTGACTCGAATTCCTGGACACACGGCTGGGTCCAATTTCCCAGTTAGGCTTGGCCTGCGGGTCGGGGGATGGGGGGCACCTCTGATGAGGCAGCTGTGAGGCTGAGGTGAGAAGAAGTCAGACTGGCCCCAGCAGGGGGTTCCTGACCTGCCCCCGCCCACCGCCAACCCCCACCAGGTGCAAGGCAGAGGCATGGAGCCCCTGGCTCAAGAGCACCGGGCAGCCCTGGGCTGGAGGAGATCAGAAAGGTTGGCACCTACCTGAGGTGAAAGAAGGGTGTGGGCCCGGCAGGTGGATGCTGCCGGCGGCGGTGAGGGAGCCAGGCCGGCAGCCAGCCCCGGGCGCCCCGCTCTCCTTCGCTGCCTCGGCCGCTAGCGGCTGTCCTGGCGGCACGGCGGCGGCGACGGCGGCGTTTGAGGGCGCCTGTGTGTGCGCGCCCGGAGCCACTGCAGCATCTCTGCATCAAGATGTGCTCCTCCCTCTCCCAGGCTCCGCTCACTGGCTGGCTCCCGTCCTCAGCCGACGCTCGGGCCCTGGAGATGGCTTCCTTCTGCACCCCTCCCGCCCCCTGCCGTCCCCACCCTCCCGGCTTTACCTCATTTGCTGTCTTTTAAAGACCAGGGAGGGAGCCAGAGCGCCGAGCCCTCCATAATGCAGGGGCGCCCCCGCCCCGCCCCGCGGGCGCTGTCTGGCCTGCTTGCCCATCCCTGCCCAGCCGGCGCTGACAGGCTGCAGACGGCGGGGTGCTGTGCAAGGAAAATGAAAAGTGGCTCTTGTCCCCAAACCCTGGGGCGCACGGAGCCAAACTCCGTCCCCCCAGGAAGCCCCTGTCGGGAGGAGGTGTCCGGGCTAGGAGGCTCCAGCTTTCTGTGTGGCGCAGCCGGCAGGAGGGGTGCTTCCCTGGCCCACCCACTTTTCATCATTTTTGCTTCCTTTGCGCATAAAAGTAACACAGGCTCTTTGTTAAAATATCCGAACACTGGAGGAAATTTAGAAACACGTAGTGAAAGTCCCCGAGAAAATGTCAGTTCCATGCCTCCAAGTGTATCATCTCATGTGCGTCTTCCAGGGTTATTAGGATTGCCTTGGGGAACGGGATCACACAATCCATTGTGACTGGCGACATTTTTTTAAACTATAGAATATCTCGCGGACACCTTTCCACATTAGCACCTATGGATCTGAGTTTATTTTTAATCGATGGCAGTGTGAGGTCATGAAAAGCTGACTGGACTGGGGACTGAAGGAAGGCAGCCTGGGCTCTGCTACTGACTGCTGTGTGTGTGTGGCTAAGTGCCCTGCCCTCTCTGAGCCTCTCTGGCAACCTGAAGAGAGCCAAGGTGCCTGCCACTCTGAGACCTAGGTGCTCACACAGGTAGGTGACACACCCTGCTCTTCTCCTGTCATGTGGGGGTGTGCTCAGGAAGGCTGGGCCTGGAGGCAGGGGGACCGCCATCTGGGGTGGCAGTCTGCCCCATCAGGCTGTCACTATTATCTCGCACGCTCTGGTCCACCTGCTGCCCAGCTCATGCAGGCAAGACCAGTAAGTGGACCAGATGCCAAAACAGCTGGCAGGGTCAGGCCAACCTCAGAGCTTTAAATGGCCAGGCCTGTCAAGCAGGGGCAGCTCCATGTCTCCCTGAGTGGAAGGGGCTTGGGGTAGTCCTGGGTCGGAGGAGAGGCTTGGGAAAGTGGGGAGGTTCTGCTGCCCAGCCCCCCCTCCCGGATGCTGGGCCAGACAGCCACTCTCCAGGCTCTCCCGCCTGTCCTTCTGCTCCCCTCCACAGGGATTTCCCCACCTGGGAGCCAGTCTTCTTTGTTCCTGGTTGGATGACTTGGAGTACGAGGTAGGCGGTCGTAGCAAACCCCTTCCCACCTCTGTCCACACTGTCGCTGGCTGTCTGTCTACCCCCCCCCAACCTGCCCCACGCCCCCAGGACTGGCACATGCACCCTGGGGTGCTGAGGGTAAGCGTGCCCTCTGACACCACCCAGGCTGGCCCAGGCTCTGAAGAGGGGGCTGAGAGCTCTCTCTGAGCAGAAGCCAGTGCCTGGGAAGCTGCAGCAGGGCCGGGGGGTGGGGTGGGGGACAACAGGGGAGGATGGCCTCAGAGAGAGACAGCTGGCTTTGTGCCTCTGTTTTAGGACAGTGGTGTTTGGGGGTGGGGGCGGTCCTTGGGCAGGGCCAGGATTCTCTCCCCATTAACACGGGGGACTTGGGCCTCCAAGATGATCTCGATCACTCTGCATCGCCCTCGGGAGACTGGCAGTCACGCTAGTGGAAAACAAGAGCATTCATTCAGCCTAGACCTAGGTTTGGGAGACATTTATCTCCTCAATTGTCTGAAGCTCTCAGTCGGGCCAGTATGGATGGCTGAGGTGGGGGTGGTTATTGGGGATCCTCAAGGTCTCTATTCCTGCGAAGAGTGGGGCGGGTGTTGGGGATTCAGGCTGAGTTTTGTCTCTTTGCCCCATTAGTTTAACACTATTTTATAGTAGCATTATTAGTCATTATATAAATTATTGATAATAATTTGAGCGTCTCCGATGTGCCAGGAGCTGTGTGAGGTGCTTTACCTGAGTTAGCCACCCAGGTGGGCACTGTTATTACTGTCATCCTCATCTTACGGGCGACGCTCAGTGAGATGAAGACCTGCTCACAACAAGCAGCAAGCGAGGAAGCAGAGGCTGCCCACCGGCATCCAGTCATGGGCTATAGCTCTGCTGCTTGCCCCATCCTGCCGGGGTGGACACAGGAGGGCACAGGACCTGTGCTATGGTCCCCGCCAGGCCCCAGAACTCTCACTGCGGCTCACTGGAAGGGGTCTCTCCTTCGTGGCTAATCAGCATGTTTCCACATTGTCCAGGGTGGGATGCCCCGACTCCTAGCTGAGTCCCCACAGACTCCCAGGCAGGGCAGAGAAGGACCAGCCCATGATGCTCAGGTGGTTAATCACTAGTTAACCACTAATGGGTCACTAGTTTGCCCACTAATATTTGGCAAACCCCAGAGGGAAACCCCCAGAAGCAGCATGAGGACCCCCAACCCTTCCCAGGGCATCTGCACCTGCAGCCCCAGCAGATCGTGGCAGAGGGGACAGGGCATGACCACATGGTCAAGGAGGGGCCTTGAGACCCTGCCCAGGGGACAGGTGGGGAGGGTGCTGAGAGCCGGCCTGGCCCTGGGGTGCTGTCTTGGTGACATTCCTCATTGGGCCCCAGCCCATGTGTCCTTTCCTGGCCTCTCCAGCCATGAGCACCTTCACCTCCGACTTCAGACCTTTTCTAGAGCCCAAGAGACTGTGTTTACGGCACAGTTTCTCTGCCCAGCAAGGTGGGGCCTGCCTGGGAGCTGCAGGATGTGTTCCGGGAAACAGTCCGACTGCGTGGCAGGAGTGTCCATCTGCTGCTCCAGGGAGGGTGCCAAGGCGGGCGGGGTACGGCTCTGACATCAGCCCACCTTCACACGCTGTCCTGTGATTTCCAAGCCGCGTGGTCACAGGTCAGGCACATCCCTCCTCAGGGCCCAGACTCATCATCCAGAAAAAGGGATTTTTTTTTTAAAGATTTATTTTTTTGTAGAAGAACTGGGGTACAGGCCAGAGGTGTGGGGGGTGAGAGGATACACCAGAGACAGAATGGGGAGCAGAGCAGGTAGATTGACTGAAATACACTCCTGAGGGGAGTAGCAGGTGAGACAGGAGAGGTCTGCTGCGCCATGTGGGTAGCTCCCTGGCCAGGGATCGAACTCAGGCCGCAGTGGTAATGGCACTGAGGCTAACTCCTCAGTGGGGATTAAGACACATACCTCGCTGACTTGAGCGAGCATTGAATCACACACCAAGGGTCTCTCTAGCAAGGTGTCCAGCGCACATAGCAGGTGCTCAGTAAAGTCTGACTTCCCCTTGGGCCTTTGGGGATTCAGCCTCCCCTCTGTCACACAGGGGGTACCCTATGAGGTTGAGCCTACTGCTGAGCATGTCTCTGCCTCTCTGGTGGGCGGCTCTGGATTTACGCTGGGAGAGCTGGGCTCCGGCGTCCACTCTGTCGCTCCTGGCTGCTCAACTCTGTCTGACCAGGCCCAATTCAAGATGCCCACACGCCACCTCCACAGAGCCCTCCGGCCGCCTCCTGGGCCCTTCTCTCCCACCACATCTCCCCACCCCTGGCTGCAAGACCTTGGGCAAGACCTTTCATTGTGCTGAGATTCCATTTCCTCATTAGCAAGACAAGACTGTCCTTAGGATGATAGTGAGCGCGTGGCGGTTAAGATCATGGTTTTTAGTTTATTTGTGCTTTATTTAGTAACATCAAGATTTTTAAAAGCACCTTGTGAAGAGCCAGCTGCCATCAGCAAATACTGATGATCATTCCTCACTGTCCTCTCTGGGGGCGGAGACCGGTGCATTCGGTCTCTATTTTCCCAGCCCTCCCCTGCCCCACCCCCAGCACTGTCCTGGCACAAATCGATCCTTGTTTACTGGGTGAAAAGGGTGGAGAACAGCAACTGTGCCAGTTCAGACGGCAGGAGAGAGGGCCCCGGTGGCTACGGGGCTCCAGGCAGTGGTGTGTGAGACTTGATAGACGGAGCGGAGGCAGGGTGCAGTCCTGCAGGGGGCTGGGGGGACTGCATAGGGCTTGATTTGTTTGAGGCCAGGAGGAGCCAAGTTGAACGGGGGGTGGGGGGGGGTGGGGGGGGTGGGGAACTTGAGAGGGGGGATGGCAATACTCTGTCTACATTTGCCTTCCTAATTCTGCTGGAGGGTCTAGAGGGGTCTGTAGCCCGAGGGGCATAATTATTCTTTTAGCCATTCCAAGCCAGGGCTCTCGGAGCTTCTTTTTCAGGCTTTTAATAGACAATGCTAATGTAATTATTAATATTTAATAGTAATGATGCTAATAATGCCTTGCATTTATGTGGTCTCTCCAAAGAGCTCAAAGAACCCTCCGTTCTTTTCTATGAAGCATTTGGCTAGTGTGGGAGGCGAGAGGTGGGGAGTGGGGGCAGGGGTGGTGGAGGGAGATTGAGTCCCAGGGAGACCGGAGCTGGAGCCGGAGCCGCAAAGGTGAGCCAGTGGGGCCAAGGTCACAAAGCACAGCGCTGGGGCCAGGACGGGTTTCCGGGTTCTCCCCTAGAGCCCCACCCTCAACTGTGCCTGGGTGTTGTGTCTGAGGCAGATATCCTGCTGGGAGTATCTTCTGGCAAACAGATGTCCCTGCTGGGGCCCCCCACCCCCCAACTGTGAACCCCAATGTGGGCTGGGCTGCACAGTGGACAGCCT